ACGGGAAATTTAACATGAGTTTTATTGAGACCAAAATTATGTCAATCACCACTTATAAATCCTACTCTAACACTGGCAAAAATTTAAGAAATTTGGACATGGAACAAAACCTCAGAGATCACACACGTTACCTTAAGACCTCTGTCTCTCCCTGGCTGAGATGTTCTTCACAGCCCTCTCTGGGCCCCGGTGTCCGGCACTCTCCTTCCTAAGTCCCTACAGGACCTCTATATACAAACCCCACAGGGGGGAGGGGGAGATCAACACCCAGGACCTCCCCCCCCCTTAGAGTTCACACCCAGGGAAGCCTTCTCCAAGAGGTCAGCCCAGATGACCTCCGGTTTATCTTGTATATTGAAAAAAAATTCCTGGGTTAGTCTTAGTCAGCATAGTTTCAAGTATGTAATATTTCATGCAAGGGAATTAGACTCCAGATTCTGATGTGTAAACATCCTTGGATCTCCCCCTTTTGGCCAGGTCAGAGGTCAGCCACACACGTAATTAATAACTCCTCTCTTGAAGAGTGTATGGTGAATGTCAAACAAGCTTATTGAAATATTTCTTGAGTGTTTGTACATTCTTGGTGGGTAGCAACAGCAGATCTCCCCCTCCCCCCTGTGGGGAGCCTTTTGGATATAGTGGCTGACAACCGTTTCCATAATTAATGACAGTCATAGAAAGTACTCTCCAAGTCAAGCAATGTTTCTTGCCTCGTTGCTTGATATAGTCTCAATGGTCAAAGGCAGATGGTGGCAGCGTATTTCATCCTGTGTTAGCATCTCCTTGTTGGCAGTGTACTTTGTAGTCCCGGTGTAACCATCATATGTCAGCCCATAACAGTGTTACCAAGTGCAACCAATGGGGAAGTGTTACTCAGGATAAGTAGTGTTTACATTTTTAGTTTAGTGTTCCATTATAGTGGTACACTTTAGAGTGGTGCATTTTAGTAGTGGTTTTACAAAAAGAGCGGTGTTACACCTGGATGCAACCCTATAACAAGCTAACTCCTGGGTACCTACTTACTGCTAGGCGAACAGACGCATTAGGTGATAGGAAACGCGCCCAACTTTTTCTGTCCTGCGATTGTGAGTTAAGAACGAACCCGCTGAACTACTCGGACCCTAAATGTAGTGTATATGGGGTTTAAAAGAGATTGAAGAATGGTCCCATTGAAGAATGGGACACACTAGTGAACACTGTGCATCTGTATCCGTCACCAAGATAATGTTATTAAAACAAGACTAAAACCAGTGCACTTAACAGAAACGGGAGAAAAGGAGGGTAATCCCCTACGTCCATTTAAACCTTAGACCCAAATACCACAGTAACAGTGTTATCACGAATAACGAACTTGTCACGTATGATTATGTTACATTGTTGGGAAGAGTAGATACACAGAGTTTAGTGGGTTTTCATATTTATTTAGTAGTCTTGGTTACAGCAGTCGGTTGTTGGCAGTGTTGAAGACGTTGAGACGGAGCTTGGAGCAGAGCAAAGCTGAATGAGGCCGGAGTCGCGGAGCTCTCTGTGGGAGAGCTTTGTAGCTCGATGCGGTCCTAGTCTGCTGCCTGTTCTTTAACGAAGCTATAGCGTCTTGGGGTCGATTAGAACTGTACACGCCGAGTGCTACATTCTTGAGGGTGAAGAGGTGAGGTAAATCCAAAGCGTCTGTACTGGAATTATCTGACTCACTGTGGAAATTATATTGTTGGCTATTCGCAATTCGCTAGCTTATATTCGGTGACTGCACCTCATCTTCTTCCAACCAGGATGGAATCTTGTTGTTGTTGTTATAGATTCAGCTGCTCGGAACAAGTTCCAAGTAGCACGGGCTATGATGAGCCCGTAACTTACCTGGCACAGGAGCGGGGCAAGTAGCACGGGCTATGGTGAGCCCGTAGACGACTTACCTGGCATAGGAGCGGTGCTGTGGTTGAGGATGGAAAGAATGTTACCTGTAAATAGGGATAGGATTATAGCTTGTGTAGTTAGTGCTAATTAGTTATGCCATTAAGATAATTAGAGACTGGAGTGAGTGGTTTACTCACTACAAACTTATGGTTACTCGCTTCTCGATTGCTTGTATGATCGGACTACACCTCATCTCATCATCCTCCAATAAGTTGGAAGGATGAATAGGAATATTAACTGTAATTAGGGAAAAGGTATGAGTGACGTCATTGGTGCTAATGTAAGTTTTGCTTCTCTCATTAAGCTAATGAGTTTGAAGCGAGTATATTATTGGCCTAATTTACTCGCTACATAACTCCCCCTCCCAGGGGATGAAAGGAAAAACACTTATTTTTTTTTTTTATTTATTTATATACAAGAAGGTACATTGGGTTAGAGAGAATACATAGCATAGTATTTACAATCTTGTAAAGCCACTAGTACGCGCAGCGTTTCGGGCAGGTACAGATAATCTAACAGATAATTTTAAGTAGGTAAATTCTAGCAGAATTAATAAAATGATAACAGATACATTGCAAGAAAAAAAATGAGATGAGAGAGAATAGTAAGTATATTAAAGCACATTGAGGATGGAAAGAATCTGGCTCTGAGGAATCTGGCTTAAAGCTCTGGTTGATTACATTGACAACTTGATTGGTAATTTAAACAAGATTAACAGACACCGTACAGCAGATTGATAGCACATATAAGAAGACAGTAATGATCACATTGGTAAAGATGTTCGGATTGGGTACATAAAGAGAGGGAGATTGGGTAGCAATAGATACAGTGCAATTTTAAAGCATGGAACTTGATCAAGGAACCTTGAACCTGATCAAGGAACTTGATCAAAACTTGATCAAGGAAACTGGATGGTCGGTGAATTGTACGCCCTGCTCGCGTTGTGTAACACTCAAAGTTAACTTCCTCCTCTTCGCTGATGTCATATAACTGAGGTCGTAGGTTGGGAGGTCGCACAGGATTGTCCGTTGTCGTAAGATCCGATGGTGGTGCTGTTGGTAACTGGGGTTGTAGGGTGGGAAGTCGCACAGGATCGTTTGTTGTCGTAAATGGTGGTGCTGCTGGCAACTGGGGTTGTAGAGTGGCGTCGGGTTTAAGAATTCTCCCAGAAGCTGCAGGCTACATTCATCTACCAAGTCTGCTACCGACAATCCACTGCCCTCCATCGTGGCCGAACGGATGCCAAGCAAGACTAATAGAAGGTTGTTGATCCAATCATCATGGCGTGCTTGAGCTCTTAGCTAAGGCGGTTTTTGGTTGTCTATGAAAGCGTTCTACCATTCCGTTCGACTCAGGGTGGTATGCTGTGGTTCGGTTGTGTGTCGATGTGTTTCCGCCCGCTGGTACTGGAGACATGAGCGAGTCCATCGTCGAACATCGGCATTGATTCCTGGCCATACGACACGCTTTGTTAGTAGTAGTTTCTGGGAAGCACGTACTCCTGGGTGAGCTAGGGTGTGAAATGTCGAGATTATTTTCCAGAGAAACTGGGCTGGAATGTAAGGCCTAAGGGCTCCCGTCCGGGAGGTGTCACAGATTATACTACTGCCACCTTCCATGGGAATCTCGATGAACCGGAGAGCTGTCAGATGTTCGTAAGATCTTCTCTCGTTAGGCTAATGAGTTTGGAGCGAGTATTGGCATAATCTACTTGCTATACAAACTCAATCACGGACTCACTATAGCACGTGCTACATGGACATTTCGTTCTGAGTAGCTAAATCTAAAACAATGGTTTAGGAGAGGGGAATTCTCTGTGAATTAACCCACCCACCAAGTTAACTTAAGCCAGAGTTAATCTGGCTTAATACCCGGCTTGGTGCCTTCTTTTCATAATTTTTTACTAACCTGGTTTAAGGCCTTGTAGTTTGTCTCGTGATGCGTTTACAACATGTTCGTGTCAAAAGTTATAGACATAGATACAACACAATTATTAATAATGAAAACAGAGGCCATTTAATGTTGGTTTAGTTAATTTATTATGCACCCCATACCTATCCTGTAAACGGTAGTAGAAAGGGTTACAGAGGCAAATATGTGGGTTCAGGGACTGAACCCCACAATTCATTTAGCTAAGCAAGTTGCAATCTTGATAAGGTAGTTACAAAATTCAATGCATATCGTCACATCAATAATGGGTTCGAGATCGACCACAAGTACAGTTTCTAAATTAAGCAACTGACATATGTGGAGAGCTAGTGTCACAATTAATATGTTTGTCTTGCACACCGCCCCCGATCCAGTGGGCAACGGTATAGGTTACAATCACTCAGTTACTACCTACAGTTAGCAAACTGAGTATATTTGGCCAAGACTTCTAGCAGCTGATCATTTTGAATGAAATATTTACACATCTCTGGAACATTTGTTATAGAATTGTCTCTGAACTCGCGTATCTTTTTTTTTTTTTTTTTTTTTTGCAAAGAGTGATGGATTTATAGATAGGGCTAGTACATACAATGCCTAAAGCCACTATTACGCAAAGCGTTTCGGGCATTGGATGGATGGCGAATAATTTTGCTGACACAATTTACATTTGGTCAGGTCTAGATCAGCAGATAATGACAATTCCCAGAGATACAAGAATGTAGCAACTCTTGTATATATCTAAAAAAAAAAAAAAGATACTTGTAACCGAGTCTAAGCCGAGCAGTAGTAACATCTAGAAGTCTGCTTATTTTATTGGATGAGCCATAGACGTGTGGTTCCTCTTGCATGATAGTATGATGATATATAGAATTACTGGTGTCGATTTCACTTTGCCTCAGATCTACAAGATTTTGTTGAAGTTCTTGGAGTACTATTGCTCTCAGACTGCTTATTGACAATCCAAGGCCATTTAATGGTGATTCCATCTCATGTTTACCTCCTAATACAAGACAGAACTGATGAGTTAGCCAAAGAATATGCTTTCATATGAAGGCATATACTCGCCTTCCGCTACTTTCTTATATTGTTAACCCTTAAAAACCTCGAGCACTGAACTCCATGAAGACAAAATCAATTAAAGAAAACGGACCGACAAACGTGGTCACAACCGATCAAACACAACACTGGCTGGGCTCAGTCGTCCCTAAACCAACAACATAACTGGTCTCGCCATCTCTCAGAAGTATACATAACTACCAAAATCATTTCAACTGAAAAACACCAGTAACTTCATTAATAGTGAATAGAAGTTTTGAACACTTAGAGAAGTTGAGCGGTGATATTTTCCAAATTGTAACTGCTGGAATAAATTATCCCTAAACCAGCAAATTCTTCAAGATGGTAAGTGATTTGGGGTTCCTGGCGAGTTATTTTTTCCACTGTAACATACTGTAAATATAATAAAATTGTGTTAGAATATTAAATTTAATTAGTGTATGAAAACAGGCTGGTCATTGTAATGTTTCACTTACAACTTCATTTCACAAATTTTCAGTGCTAATGTACACTACGGTATTGGTTTAGGTTAAGTTATTTTGGATTAGTCGCATAATTAGATTACATTAATTTGGTTAAACAGTTTGCAAAGGTCCTGTACTGCAGTAGTCAGCACAGTCAGATCACTATCGAAAGGTGTCGGGTTTGATTCTTGTGGCAGGACAGACATGACTAGGAGTTAGGCAACGGTTCAGAGTTGCATCCCAAACAAGGTCGGTAGTTGGCCTAGGGGTCATCTCAATATGTCTAACAGGCTGTCTCTCCAAAAATGGGAAACCAGTTTGTAATAATTCTGTATTAAAATAGGATACAGGTCATTTAATACTCAAGACGGTTCACAAATAAATATTAAAACTAGACCAATCTAACTTATCTTAACCTAATTTAACCCATCCTAATTTAATGATATATAATTTTGAAAATATATATATATATATATATATATATATATATATATATATATATATATATATATATATATATATATATATATATATATAATATAATATAATATATATATAATATATATATCATTTTTTTTTTTTTTAAACAGCAATGTTTTCTGTATCTAAATATCACTGTAGTGAACAAAACATTTAGCTCTAGGATTACCTCCTCACCACCTCAGTATTTGTACAATCAGAATATACAGTACTGTACTGTATACTGTAGTCATGCAAAGAAAATGATCAAATTCTGTTCTGTCAGAGGTAAGATTCTAGTATCATAATACTGTATCACTGTTTGTTAATATTTTAAGCTGGAATCTTGCCAAAATCCCGTATCATATTTTATTTAAAGATCCTTTAGACTGGTATTTTTGCACATATTTTTGGTTGTGACTATTCTCACATTAGTTGTCTTGTTGGTCACATATGAGTATAATTTGGTGCTTGTCTCATCATGGACCTATGGACACATCCAAGTACAATATTGTACTTTGGCTATATTGTTGTGGTATAGATACTGTAGGCTATGAGGTTAGGCCCAGTTAGGTAAAACAATGCTATTTCCTCATACATTGAAAATAGTTGCTAGTTTTATTTATATTGTACATTGAAAATAGTAACTGCTATTCTGAAAAGTTATGTATAGTAAAAATATCATGAACTTCTGTAATACGCGTTCAAGCTAGGTGAGGTTATTATTTCAGAGCATGATACTGTAACCAGTACTGTATTTATTTTTTACTATACAGTACATGATAAAAGTATCAGATCACACAATGAGGAGTTAAGGTTATGAAAGCAATATATTAATGATAAGTACCAAAGAATTGTGTTCTTGGTTCATTCACACTTCCCAAAACCCAAGAACTGTAGATTCTTGTTTGAGTGTCTCATTGTGGTCTTCCACAGGGTAAACACCTGCTGTATTTTTGGCTCATGCCCATAATTTGAGGAGCTCCCTTAGATTCACAGCCTTCATTATAATCACCAACTTGTAGCTTTTCAAATTGTCAAATACAGAAAGAAAGGAAGAGTAGGAGGAAAAACCTAAACCTGCCATTGTGGGGACCTACAAAATCTTCTCAAAGGCTTTTTGTTCAATGGGTGGTGCACACCCGGAGATGGGTCAAAATAAAGTACAGTAGAAACCAAGATGCATGCATAGAAATGGGATATTCCAGTGGAAATATGAGCATAAAACAAGTGTCCAGGGAAGACAACTAGGAAACCTGGCAGCATTCCTCAAAAACAGGAAAAAACACTGGAAAATCAGGGACTTAAACCCAGGAAGCAGAGGAATCACTGGAAAAGATGCCCTAGGTGTACCTCCACCAAGATGGGGGCTGTAGCTAAGTCATCACACAGCCGGAAAGTTAGGGCACACACTTGAGGTACGCCCCCAGGAAAATGGGCACACGCACTCGACATAAAAGTATAAGAGCATGAGCCAATCCCGCAAATACACAAAGGCTCCTGCAGTACTGCAGCACAAAGATCTCCCAAGTGGCTGAAACTATGAGACACTTCCTGAAATTTGGGTACACACACTGGGGCTTGGGGAAGACAAACAGGGGACCCCAGAGTATGCACCTGAGGTTTGTGGACCCATGATGCAGGACAGAGAGGTATGGCGCATAGAAAATGAGCAGCCAGTGGGTCCATGTCATACAAGGATCTAAGGATCCCATCAACAAAACAAAGCTCAGATGAATGCACCAGAAAACTGTGCATGGTAGAATCATGCTAAACACCAACTGGTGACATGTCAGAGAATAAAAGAACTGAAGAATGGGAACCAGATCAACCAACCCCAGAGCAAATCCTGAACCTGAAGCTCGTCAGCCAGGATGCTGCAGAAATGTAATTGGCACATGTTCGCTGAACCCCATTCAACCAATAATGGAAAAGTTCAAGGGTAGTTTTTGCCTAAAGAAAAATAAAGAATAAAAAGGCTCTTATTTTCACCTTTAAGCAAAATATCTGATTATAAAGCACCACCATGGTGGTCAACACTGCCTCCATTGTTAACTGTGATTTTGAACATAAATAGTGCCCAGAACCAAGGCCTAATCCACAAAGCTTCGAATGCCAAGGTTGTGACCCAACTCAAGAGAGGACAACATTTATCTTTGGTGGTAGATTGAATTTAATGCTTCTTGTCTCTCTTGCCAGCTTGGTAACAATACCATATGAAAAGATCCTGGTTATCAAGGGGCACAGGTCGATGAGAGCCTGGCATGGGTGCAGTGTCCTAGGTGGACCCCTGGACCTGGCTCGGGGAGTGATCAGAGGAGCCTTTGCTCTGAAATATTAATAGAAATAGTTTTGAGTTTGGGAAAGATATTGAATGACAGGTTTTTATTTTAAGAGTGATAAGTTTTGACAAGTCATAATGAATGTCAAGCCATATCCTTGAATATTGGTTTAATAGCATTAAGAAAGTTCATCAAAATACTTTACTAAAAGAAAAAAAAATTTATATGAGAAATCCAACGTGCCTAGTTTCAAAGAAGGCTTTTGGCTGGTTTTCATTTGGAGAATAACACATTTCACTGACTCATTTTTACTGTATCATCTTCAGTACTACTGTATACAGTATATTAATAAAACCTGTTACGTTTTACAGTACAGTATGTACATACTGTAATAAAGTGCTTGGTCTTGACATGTATCCAGTTCTTCCATATAAAATCCTTAATTAAACACTGGGGACAATAGTGGGGTTCAACCCCACTGTTGTCTCCAGAAAAACAATAATTTCAGCCCTAGATAATTGAACCCTATCCTTAGTGTACAGTATATTTGATTATGTCCATAGAAGTGTTCCCAGTTATCAGTGAATGATATTGCATTAGCTGTGTAGTGTTTGTCTAGACAACAATTTTATGTACGGAAACTTGTGGTAAAATTTCTGTACATAAAACTGGGACTCTACTTTACGGTATTTACTGTTCTTGTAGGGATAGTTAAGAAAAGCTTATCAATAATAATTATAATTTTTCCTCACACAGGGTGAACGTAAAGGCGTCAACAAGTATTACCCTCCTGACTATGACCCAAGTAGAGGAGGCCTTAATAAATTTCAGGGCACACATGCTCTACGAGAGCGTGCCCGGAAATTGCACCTTGGCATCCTTATCATTCGATTTGAGATGCCATACAACATTTGGTGCGAAGGCTGCAACAATCACATAGGAACAGGTGTAAGGTATGTTGTTAGCTGCTGCCATACAATTATCTGTACATATTGCTTGATAATTTGTTTGAAGGAAAATATTATGACCTGCTTAAGATTCAATTGTTTCTTTCTACCTTTCATACCCAATCCCACAAACCATATAATGTGCCAAGTCCACCATCGCCCTCGCATCTTCACAGCTTATCCACATTCATCTACCCCATCGACATTTTGCTTACCAATCCATCCACATTCATCCACTTATCTACATTCATGCATATTCACTAACATTTTTTATGTACAGTACTTATTAGTTTGTATATCGAGATTTTAAAATACCTGAGGATGTATTTTTTTATTAATATATATGCTGTAATACTGTTGGCATTGTGAGAGATGCTTGACATGGAGATGTAGTAATACCTTTCTCAATCAACTATGATCAAAACATATTACCTGTAGTTGTTTTTGTAACTTGAAAATCAAATATATTTTCTTGAAAAAGCCTATAAAACATTTGAAATCAATAAAATATATCCTTTGATTAAATTAATAAGAGAAATACTGATAGGAGTGACATTTTCTAATGTATTACATGTTTCTAAGCTTCTCTTTAAACAAATTGAATTGTAATACATTTTGAAGGCTAATAAAAATAATTTGTCTGGCATTAATTATAGTACAGGAGTGTCTTGTAATACAGTTGGCTTCATTCTCGACTCACAGTCGGGGATCTCAGGTTCGATTCACAGGCAGGAGACAAATGGTTGGGCATGTTTACTTTTACCTAATGCCCTGTTCACCTAGCAGTGAATAGGTACTGTACCCGCGAGTTAAGTAACTGTCGCGGGGTTGCGTCCTGGGAAGATCACTAGTTCAACCTCAGGGGGACTACAGTATATGTATACTATATATACAAGCCTAAAGTATATTCAGTATACATATACAGAGACACAGGCTTCCAGTCCCCAACAATACAAATTATTAATTATATAATGTGTCTATGTTCCTGTTTCATGATTTTTCAGATATAATGCAGAGAAGAAGAAAGTAGGAATGTATTATTCAACACCTATCTACCAGTTTCGCATGAAGTGTCATCTGTGTGACAACCATTTTGAAATCAAAACAGATCCAGCGGTTAGTTTAAATTTGAGTACTGTACTGTAATGAGAGTGAAAGTAAATAAGTGAATGAATAAATAAGAGTGCAAATGAATTAAAAAATTTTAAATCAATGTACTAAAGGTCTACTGTACATTATTTATAATAAAAATGTTTGACACTGTTAGTGTTAGTGATTTTAATAATGGTATTATTAGCAATAATTGAAATAGCAGATAAGTGTGTATTACCTTGCAACACATTTGGTTATGAACTACTATACTACCATAATATAAAATGATCCCTTTTAACCAAGTGAATATAAAAAGACATGTATGCTAATCATGTATATTTTACAGAATTTAGATTATGAAATAGTGAGCGGTGCAAGACGGCAAGAAAGGCGTTGGGATCCCACAGAAAATGAGCAAATTGTCCCCGAGGATAAGGAGGTAAAATTACAAATTTATATATACAATGTTTATTGATATACTGATGCTTTTCCATGTGTGTCTTGTCTTGAAATTTTCATACCTCACCAATAAGCTGCATCAGTCCAGTCCCGTTATGCCACAATTCATTATAATGCCTGTTTCATCATTCAATGTATGAAATAAATCAATATTAATCTGGTCTAAAATATCTCAATCTTAAGACCCGTTCAAGTATTCTTATTTTTACCCCAAAATGTTTCATTCACTTTCCAGGCATGATTATCATATCTGCAACTTTTCCCTTGTCAGCACACCTGTATTACTTCCTTTCCCCAGATACATTCCCATACCGCTTGTCTTCTAACAGTAAACCCACATGTGCCCTACAATTGCTGATTCTAATGAAGAGAGAAAAACAATCATTTCAGTCCTAGATAAGTGACCCTTATCCTTAGTGTACAGTATATTTGATTGTGTCCATAGAAATGTTCCCAGTTATCAGTGGATGATATTGCATTAGCTGTGTAGTGTTTGTCTAGCCAGCAGTTGACATCAGTAGTCTTAAGACAGCCATTTATTTTCAACTCCTTTTCTTGGAAGAATGCCACATATGATTGGGATTCCTCTCTCACTCTTGACTAAGTCGGTGGCTGCCTTATACTTTTGCATTAGTTCCTCACTCGTAACTTTTTCTGTATTATTTCTCCCGGCAATAATACAGTTACAGTAACAGGTTTGTTCTCATTACTGTATTACCCATATTGCTAACAGTATTCCCAATTCCTGCTCAAAGAAATGTAGCAGAAGTTGGGAACTCCTACTGCCCTCCTCCCTACCTGGTGGCAGTAGATAAGAGAGGAGGGCCATGCATATTATTACCTAGTTAAGTTGTCTTCAGTGTTTTGTTAAGTGAATTGGGTGTTGTCAGGCATTCCTCAGTAAGACGTTGAGTATTTTAAGACTACTACTCATTTTTTAGTGGACAGTTTATTTCTGTTTTGTTGATCTATGATTCCAATATGCCTTCTTTGCTCTGTGGAAGTGACAAGATAGTATTCTGATGGGTAGAGAAGTAATAGGAGACTGGCATATCCAGTATGTTTCTAGTTTCATCATAGTGTAATTAATGTTCAATAATTATAAACATATATATACTGTACTATAATTACTCAATCTTGTAAGGTTATTAAACTCCAAATATAAATTTCCAGATAACACGAAAAATGGCAGCAGATGCAATGTTTAAATTAGAACATGGTGTTGGTGACAAAGTCAAATCCCAAGAAGTTGATCCAGTGCTTCAAAAACTTGAAGAATTTCAAGCAAGTCGTTGGCATGATGATTATGCATCTAACAAAGCTCTTCGGTCAGCTATGCGGGTGAGTTCCTTTCTCGTTTGTATACACTAATCTGTTTTCCCAACTTAACAATATGCATCCTGATTCCTTCCAAACCTTTTTTTGCTGCTTGATACATTCACACCATTAAGTGATAAGATTTAACTTCCATTGCTCAATGCTACTGAAAGATTATGTACAGTTGTTTGTTTTATAATTCATTTTGTTGGGGACAGGCAGCATGTGTATACAGCATGTGTGATGTGAATACAGTATTTGTTAGGTTTATATTGAGGTCAACCCCCAACCCCGAGGTCAAACTACTGACCCTCCCCAGGATGCAACCCCACAATAGTTGCCTAACTCCCAAGTACCTATTTAAATGCTAGTTGAACAGAGGCATTAGATGAAAGGAAACATGCCCAACTATTTCTGTCAAACCCGGAATTTGAACTCGGGATTCCTGATTGTGAGTTGAGAATGAACGTAATTGTAGTACTTCTTGATTACACTTGAAAATTTAAACACTGAGCATGTATTTGTTAAGAAGCAAGAAATTGACTATACAAATACAAATACAAATATTTATTCAGATAAAGTACATACTGTACATGCAAGGTGAGACACAAAACATTGATGGATTTATAGATAGAGCTACTGTAGTACATACAATGCTTAAAGCCACTATTACGCAAAGCGTTTCAGGCAGGAAAACACTGAGACTAAAACTTAATACTTAATACTTTAATGACTATCTTTAATACCATCTTTCATACATCAATTCCTTACCCATGAGATTGAAATTGAAATAAGTTATGTAGTATAAATACACACAAAGGGATGAGGTAGCTCAAGCTATTCTCACCCTGTTCAGTACAACGTGTTCATATACAGTATATATTAGACTCGCGTCACAAACAATAAGCATATTATCGAACATTCTGAGTGATAAACATATGCTGTACATTTCTTCCTTTACACATGCAGTATGTAACCAGACATACACAAATACGTTAATGACTAGGTACACAGACCATTTGCAATAGACATTCAGACAATTCAACAAAGTTACAATCTTGGTGCAAAATTCTTATCTCAGAATAACATCATTCTTTCCATTATGACACATCCAGGCTATTTGTTCAGGAACAGTCCTTATCTCAGTGTTTTTATATACATTAATCAATGGACAATCAAGGACATAATGGGTGAGGGTGTGAGATCTTAACATACCACATAGTTTACACTTGGTGTCATTATCATTAACATCTATTCCATATTCCCAGTAATATTTGTACCCAAGCCTGAGCTGCATGTGTACAGAGTCACTCCAAGCATTTCTCCTTTCACCATAAGTGAAATGGGTGTTTTGACACACACACATGTAGTGTTGCATGGTTTGGCTTCCCTCATACATTATACCTCTTCTCGCCACTTCTGCCTGTACTTGAATATTTCTAATTTTGCTTCTTATTTGTCTCATTGTTAAAACACATTCAATGTCAACTTGTGGTTTTGATGTGGCACGTTTGGCCAGGTTATCCGCCACCTCTTGACAATTATTCCAACATGAGCTGGAATCCACATGACTTTCACTTTGTGACCTTTCAGCTGTATCTCATTTATCCTTGTCTTACAATCCTCAACTGTGGACATGAAGATTGGATTTCGACTGTTTAAGGAATCAAGTGCTCCTCGGCTATCGACAAATACAAAAACATCTTTTTCGCCTTGACGTACTTCCTCCGAATCAGCCAGAATGGTCTGCAGTTCAGCTTATGTGGATGATATATAATTACAGTACTAAGTCGAAGTTCAGTTTCCCTGCCCACAGTTCCAAACTCGGTATATATTCCCTTATTAGGACACTACACCCTGCCTTGCCATCTTCTGCCACCGAACAGTCACAATATACATGTAAACTATTGCCTCTTGGTAACCCAGATATCATGCTTCCATACAAACAACGTAATTGTCCTGGTTCATGTTGAATCTTATTCATCTTGAGGGGTACAATTTCAACTTTTATTTTCTGTACTTTCCAGGGAGCAGACCTTTTACACTGTTGAAAGGGTTTGCAGCACTCGAGTACATCATATTTCCTGAGGCCATTAGCTAATCCCCGTGTGTAGCATGTCTCTCTTTGTGTCCTGGAAGTGTGTATGTCACTCAAGCAAGTCTGAATGCTGTGAAAGTCCTAGAAAGTCCCCTCCTCTCCTCATGAAGATAATAGATAATCAAGTGTTAATGGCAAGGACTCTGTCATACACACACAGTAAATTTAATTCCATTCTCATTATTTCAATCATGGCATTTCTTTGACATCCAAGAATAATCCTAATAGCTTTATTCTGTGTCAGCTCTAGTTTTTTTTAATTATGCCTTGCCCTGTGTAAGACAAAACGGGTGCTGCATAGTCTATCAGGGACTGAATGGTGCTTATGTATAACATCCACAAAATAGATACCCCTACACCTTTACCAGAAAATGCTAGTGCTTTTAGAAAATGCAGTCGGGCTTTACATAAGGTGCTGATATGATTTATTTCAGCATTTTTAGTGTGGCATGTGTATCCAACATACATGCCCAGATACTCGTACAGTACTTCTTAACACGGCTCAGTTCCTTACCATTTAAAGTGTTATATTTCTTTGTTTCCTGTACTCATATTTGGTTTTGTCTGCATTTATAACTAAACCTAACTTGTGACAGGTTGTACCAAGTATGTTAAGAGCAGTTTGAATTGTGTTACCAAAAGTGACTTGTATAAGAATGTCATCAGCATATATGATTGTCATGACCCCTGGAGGATACATCTCTGATGCTAATCTGTTCATTAATACATTGTATAGGGTGGGACTTAAAACTCCCATTTGGGGGGTACCTAACTAAAACCACCTTTCCTCAGACATGTATCCTCGGTAATACACCTGACCTTTTCTCCCTTGTAGATAATCTCGTATCCAATGTAGCAATCTCCCTGTTATTCCCAGATGTCTAATTCATATAAGATTACTTCCCAATTGGCTTTATCAACTGCTCCTTATACATCAACAAAAACTCCACAATTGTCATCCACATTAGAAAAACACTAAGAGACACTCCGCAGTACTTTTGCCCTTGATAAAACCAAAGAGGTTATTGGACATGTTATCTCCTACAAGGTAGAGTAGCCTATTTAACAAGATTTTTTTCATCATTTTACAAAGAGGAATGCTAATGATACAGGCCTGTAATCTCCAGTTGACTTGGGTATAAGAATGATGACAGCCTCCTTCCATTTCCTTGGTAATTTACCTTCCCTATAACTTTTGTTAAACAAATCAAGTAATACCCATGAGGTAGTTTTAAAATAATTACACACGGAGAAAAATAGTACAGAATTTGATGTAGGAACTGAATTTTGTCATCATTGTATTTCATGATAAGAGAAACTTACATGATTGATTGGGATAGATCATAAATGTAGACACTGTACAGTATTGTACTGTACTTGCACTACGATTAATGATCTCTTTCCTCTGTTTTTCTGGATAAGAATTTTATGTATATTAGTACATTCTCTTTCCTGCATAGTAATAATAAAGTAAAATCTGTATCAGCCAGGTGTATTTCCTAACAAACTTTTGTTTTGCTTTTGTCTAGGTAAAACGTATTGAAGCACAAACCCAAGCAGCAAAGGATGCCTCCTATCATATATTTGGTTCTCTTCTCCCGCCAAATGAGAGTGATGCCAAAACTGCCAAACTGCTGCAGTTTACTCAGGTACCAACTGTTGCCTTCTTATTTCGTTGTCCAGGTTTTCTTAGCATGTCAAGATGTGAGTGATAACATGCTGCATAAATACATAAGGCATTATTGTTTTTAAATTGTATATCTATGAAGGAGGATGTATAATTTTATCCATTTTTATCTGCAGTTTTTTAGAATGCCTTATGAGTTGTGTATTCATTTGTTATCAAATACTTTGTTTCTATTAAATAATTATATTTTTCAATGTCTTCATCTAAAATATTTGCAGAATTCATATTTAAAAAAAAAAAAAAAAAAAGCATTGAATGTAATGAAACGCCTCTTTCTGGGTGAGCCCCGGTGGCTTCCCCTAGAAATATAAATTAAATAACATTTAAGATATCCATCAATGTCAGTCACTCTTTATTTCAAATGTGGCATTTCTGCTTACAAATGATCACATTTTATTTTGTGGATTGGCTATTCTTCTAACTGCTAAAATATTTTGTTGCATTGAAGTGCTTGTCCGGCATTTATTTCTATATTTTTCTACCCTAACGATATGGCACTGGCACTAGTAACCCCAATACCTATAAATGTTATTCAGAATCTCTCCAACCATTGTGCAATATATCCTTAGTTTACTTTTGGTGTAGCAACCACTATCACTGCAATATGCATCATGCTGTGAATAAACATTACACTTTGTTTTTGGTATTATATTTTGTACCACTAATACAAGTGTATTTGTACTTGAGACAGTCTGACAATATCTGTGAGAAAAACAAATCCTTCTCTGAACTATCTTGCTCTTGTAAAATACATAAATTCCTAGTGGGTATTCAGTATGTATACAGCTGCCCCTATATGAATATTGCACACTTTATATATATGTATATCTATAGGGCAACTCTATCCTAATGGCAGATTTCTGTATATTTACTCAGTTGTAATGTTATTGGCGTTTTATTGTTGATTAGTGTAAATATTAGCACGTCTTCCTCACTGGCAGGCAACTCTTTGTTCTCACCGGGAAGTGACTTTATCCCTTGTCGGTTCTGGTTTGGAAGGAGATTTTCCTTGACTTCAATGTTTATTTTTCTGGTAAATATCTCAGTCTTGAACACGGCCCTGTATGTACTTGCAGTCCCTACATGTGGGGAGACTTGGAAGCTCCATGTCCACATTTCTCTTTTTACCTCTGCCTTTGGTTAGTCAGTTTGAAGACTTGGTTACAGCCTGCCATAATCGTTTGGTTTTATCCACCCATAGTTTGTTTACAGCTTAGTTTTGGTCTGAACTTTCTGTCCTAATGCTGGGTTTTCCTTTGGGGATGGCTTCCTTGCCAGCCTCGATCTTGGCTTCTTTGGCCACCAAAGCTTTCTGTGTTGTTTATACAATCCCCAGGATGCAATATTGTCAGATTTCTTTGTGGCACCTTTGTGATTTACTTTCAGGCATATCATGTTAGGATATTTCTAGAAATATGTTTGGTCATTCTCATGTTGCTGGTCTCCCCCTCTTCATACATTCTATTTCCCAAGGAGGCTGTGATTCAGGTTTTGGCCGTTGCATTCTAACGGCTCCTACCAGGTTTTTTATTTAAGGCCTGTCCCACCTGAATCATCATCCTAGTGGCATCCTTCAGGAACCACTCTGCAGCACAATTAAGTGTCCTGTATTTAATATACAGGATGCTTGATGCTTAATACAAACATTCTTTTGCATGTTTTGTTTGGAGAGTTGGTTCTTCTGTAAGATATTCTAAATCTTGGGGAGAAACAAAAAGAGAGCATCACTCTTGGTTGTTTGGACTGCGCCTGGCTGCCCTCAACTCTTATGTGGTCTCGTTCTGGTCATCAGGAAATATGCAATGTGACTCGGGCAGGGAAGCCCTTGTTGAATACAAGGTGCTACCATCTAATGTTGACAACCCAGTTGATACTTACCAAAGAGCCCTCCATTGGCAGTCAGTTGTGATGACAGGAATGGCTTTTATTTTGTCTGCTTATGATCTTTCTGGAAGTAAGCAATTCTCAAAAGATTTTTTTTTTTAAGTCAACAGTATTTAGCTTGAGTGAAAAATTTTTGGTGCCCCTAGCACCAGTATGAATCTCCAGGGGTCTTTCTTGAAGCTTTCATTGTGACACCAGTGTCAGAATTTTGCCCTAACCAATTTACCAATCTTGGCTAAATGTCATGGCTGCCTTACTGTAGAGAGCAACCGAGTGCCCTGCTTAGAAAGGAGCATTTTATAAAACAAACCATTTTATATATAATTGTACAGTACATTCTTTTGATAATTACTTACCAAAGCATCAAAATTGTAAGGCACCTTACAAAATTGTAATTGTGTAGCACCCTGAACATTATAAACTATGATTTAATTCCTCATCGGGAAATATAGGAAGTGATTACTTGTTCATCATGATGTATTAATGTTCTAATTTAAATTTCAGTCCAAAACATCAGAGCAGTTACAAAAGGAGAGGCGAGCAATCATAGATATCCAGTCAGTGTTTGCCAAGCTGAAGACAAAGAAAGTTTCGTCGGAAGCAAAGAAAGCTTTTGCTCAACAGTCGCTTAAGGATATTGTAGCTAATTCACAAAAGAATTTTGTAAATTTTAAAAACACTTTAGGTCCTCAGACACTAGGGATTGTACCAAGGAAGACAGGATTGCAGGCCTCTTCAGAAAAGCTGAATGATGAATCTGAAGGAGAAATACACACAGCAGGAAATGCTGCAAGTAACTCTGATAGTGTGCATAACAGTCCCACTTCAAGTACACCCACTTACACAACACACTTCTGCACCACAACACACACAGGTGCCCAAAATAATTCAAGTACAGAATGTAATAATTGTCCATCAAGTTCACAGTTTCATTGCAGCAAGTCTGCTGGAAATGCTGTTTCTCAGTCAGTCAAAAAGGAAACAGGGCAGAGTCTTGTAAGTTATGACTCTAGTGCAACTGACAGTGATGATACCTCTTAAAAAATATTGAGATTTTGCAATAGAATTGTTGGTCATTGACTTGTTTTTATCCTATATAATAAAATATACAAAATTAATATTTTCTCATTTAATGGGTACAGTATTTGTATAGCCTACAAGTAGACACAGCTTTGTGTTGACTGTGTTTTGCAGTTCACCAAGTGACAAGTGTGGTCTACTCTCCTAACATTTCATGTATATACAACTCTTACTTTTATATATCAAAACATTCTTCCTTTCTCTTATTTACTTGACACGTTAACATACCCCACTATTTTTATTTCTTGTTGTCAGGACTACTGCTTCCACTACTTGTGTGTGCTCTCTCTCTCTAGTATTGCCTCTCTTACTGGTTGTACTATACTTTACACCAGATTTCACTCTTCGAGATTAACATCCTTTACTCTTCATCACATTTCAGAAAATGCTTAAAAGGCAACCTTTTAAAGCTTAAATACAATGACACTTATAAGCTTACCCTTAATGAAATTATTTCCTAGATACTGTACTGTACTTTCAACACTGAATACTTTCTAACTTTTCCTTATCTTGCATCATTCTTTTTACAGAAATTACTGTATATTACTTGTCACTTTGCATTTATGTAAAACTGACAACACTGCCATGATTTTTGTTAAAATTAAACAGTATAACCACTAGATACTTTTAGAACCATTTTTTGTATTAATGTAAGATCACATTGCCACAATACACTACTACACCAAAGTAAAATTTTACTACATGCTTTAATATATTAGGTTGTATGTGTAGTCCAATATTTCTAAACAATTTAGAGAACACGGAGCACAGTTGTTGTAAAGTTAACATGTGTATGCCTTGTATGGTTGAAATTTTTATAACTGTACCCCTATTTAGTTAGGTAATCAGATTTAATTAAATTGTATGTAGTACAATACAGTACTTTATATTTTTACAGGACAGTTTTAATTAATACCTTAGAAGCTCAGCGTCGAATATAATGAAACGCTTCACTCTGGAGTGTCCCCAGTGGCTCCCTGAGGCTACTGGGGCTCCCTCGAGATTTTTGTTTTATGTGAGTGACTTGGAGTTGCCATTAAATGTTTAAATGTTCAAAGCCTTCTGGTAAATTGGTATAAGTTCATATAAATGGGCAATTCTATTTATTACTGTATAGGTGGCTCTGTTCTTGTGAGTTACAATACTATACAAACTGAACAAATCAACCTTAAAAGTTTATGGGAAAAATAGGGTTAGGTTCCAGACCTTACCTTAACAGTAATGTGTTACGCTCCCTCCACTGTTCAAACCACAGATTAAACACTGATATCCAGTATGCTCAGTGATGTGTAAATATAACCCTAAACGCTTGTAAAATGAGAATGTAAGTTGTGTGGAAGCCAGACACTTGGAAATGTAGTGCAGACTCTACTCACTACTAAATGTAAAGACTTACTACTACTGTTACAAAAGTTATTCAAAATTTTTATGCACTGTACTGTATGCAATTTAATGTTATTTACTTTTCAGGCTTCCTGATCCAGGAAGCCTGTTAGGTAATTTAGGTTCTACTAGGACAAATACTGACCTTTACCTAGGAATTAAGTGCATCCTTTAGCCTACTTACTGTTAGGTGAACAGAGGCTTCAGGTTTTTGAGAAACTTGCCCAAGTGTTTCTCCTGCTGTGGGAATTGAACCCGGGACCTTTTATAGGAAGCTTCCATTGATACCCCTGTGTTATCTATACACGTATCAATGTTGTAAAACAAAGTTCAGCAGGTATGGCAAATCGTTTCCTTGCAAGTATTTACCTGCAATATTAATTTGAAAGGTAAACAATTTCTTAAATGATCTTATAAAACACATCAAAAGTGGTGTGTATATTTTATTGGCATAATCTAAATTTACACAATTTTCAGCCTTTTAACTCTTTTTTTAGCTTTAAGAACAGTAATGTATGCTTTTGTTTTTAAAAAGGTGGGTATTTTTTCCCTTATAACAGGAAAGTCTTTCAAAACAATTATCAAAAGAAAGCATCAAGCTGGGAAGACTATGTATCACTGGGTATTCAAAAGGGGGTTAAATATCGCTCAAGATGCCAATATGAGAACAAAAGGACACAAGGCAAGTGATATAAAAGGTATCTGATTCGCCAAGGAAGCTATTGACAGACAAATAAGATACAAAGCAACACACACACACATCCCACAAATCAGGACATTCTTCAAAGAGGTGCACGACAGTGCAGTTTGGACAGAAAGGAACGGGATGTTGTTCCATTAGGGTATCATGAGTTAAGTGTGCGCGTTTGATACACAACCTAGCCAAAGTCATTTTCCATTGCCTATTACAGTGGTAGGAAAAAGGTCACCTAAGAGCATGCAGTTTATTACCTGTAATGCCAGCCCAACTATCCTGCCAATGGTCACAGGTTTCAGAATGAACGACCAGGTAGAAATCTGAGCAAGAAATCCCTTTCTGAAGAAACGTTGAAAGGATGAATGACCTCCTTAGTGGCAGTGCCTGCAAGTTCATTCCAGGTAACTCCATTATGGCTTAGAACCCAGCAAATTTTGACTGTCATATTTACCAGAGATAAGAAATATCCAGTATTGGATTTTGGCCACCATAGGATGTATAGAGTTAAGACTCCAGTGCCAAGAAGGCCCTGCAAGAGTCAACCACATTGACAAAGGAATGTTGACACTGAGAAAGCAGTTGATGAAGAGCATACGAAAACTTGCATAAAGTTCTGCCATTTAGATGCTAATCTCCTGGGGGCAGGTGGTATATATAGGTGTGATCAGAAAAAAAAATTGGAGTAGCCAACACCATTGACAGACTTGAACCCACCTGTAAATAAAGCAATGGAGAGGGAGGTAAAATGATCACAAAAAATGGTCTTTCAAAACAGAAGAGGGGTGAGGAGTATAAGCTTTCACCATATACGTCAGGGTCTTGCAAAATTTCACAAGCAGGATCCTCTATTAGGGCAAAGTAGGAGCACAAGGAAAGGTGTGCCATTGTAAACCGAGAGGATCTTCCAAATGAGCTACCCTTGCTAGGAAAAGAAGGTGGCAAGAGAATGGGTGAAAACACGGCACAAGTTGGGGTGTTGCAGGGACCTCATTAGGTAGTGAAGGCGGTAACAATCATCATGATCCTGTAGAGGCCGGATGTCAGTTTCAACATGCAAGCTCTGGGTGGGGGATGAATGACAGACACCAGAGCCAAAGCATACTCCAGTATGGTGTAGAGCATCAAGACAAAGGGTCAAGGGAGAAGCTCGAAAATATACAGGAAAGTCATAATCGAGTTTAGACAAAAAGAAAGGAATGCATGTTTATCAGCTTCCCAGGAAGCATGGGACAAGATTATGTAAGATATGTAAGGTGAGGGCCTTTGAGCATTCAACTCTATATGTCTGGAACAAACTTTCCTGCAATCTTATGGATTTTCTTCCAGGTACGAGGGAGAGGAGTGCTAACAGTAATGGTGAAGACGTAGGATCCGCAACTTTCATGTTTACCTGTATGAATGGCCCTACAGGTCTCCACATTTGCCTTATGAAACTATAAAAGATTCAAATGTACTCTGAAGGCTGCCTTTTTCAGGCTACACACAGCATACAGCCCAAATTCTACTCAGTACTGCAACACACTTCTGTGCCCTAGAGGAGGCATAAGCAAGGAATAGAGTGGAAAGCAGCATATATTAATGTGTCATGAAAAAGAAACGGAGTGAGGGAGAGGCATATCAGATGGTCAGGGAAGAGCAGCAAGGAGATATTCCAGTCTGCTTCATCAAACTACCACAGAGGAGGAGAGGGTGTAAGGAAGATGTAAAAAAAAAAAGATGGGGACATTGATCGCTGGTATGGAGGTCAAGATGGCCTCTCCATGTCAGGTCTATGTAAATGAAAGATAAGCGAGAAAGGCCTATGCAGGAAAGAGTATGCATGTTGGAGTCAACACAAGTTAGTTCACTGGAATTCAAAAGACAAGGGAGAATGTTACCTCCCCCCCCCTATATCCCCCAGGGGCTGCAGCCACTGGGTAAGCTCAATCAGATGAAGGAACATAAGGGAATACAAGAGTTTCCATGCATGTCAAACACATGGAAGTATTTACCATGTACACTGTCAATGCAGGCAGGACGACGACGACTAGGACCCCCCCCCCACTCCTTCGCTGGTGGCAAAAGAACCCCATCATTTGGGTAGTCAAGGCAAATATTTTTATTATTATCCTTATCTTTAAACTAACCCAGCGAGTGGGTAGGTTTATAAAAATCCCATGAAAGCTAGGCAATCATCATTCACCTATCTAACCTGGTGCAGACCAGAGGTAGGTCATAAATAAAAAAAACTTTCATAACTAAATACTGTATTGTATTAAATTTTAGAGTAAGTTTGCTTAAAGAATAGGTATATCAGTAGAGCACTTCCCCATCATAAAATACCTAATACAACACTAAAAATTACATGAACCACCAGAATATAGATTGTTCACTAATGTTAAAACCAGTGTGGAAGTTCTCAGCCTTCTCACTGATCAATCCAAGCAATTCAGCCTTTAGCAACATTGTGTGTGTGTACTGTAACACCATACTGCCAACAAAGTACAGTACCATTATCTTATTTTAAGCCCTTCACACTTACCCTTGGTGATAGTTATTAAGAATTAAAAATGTTGAGAATGGAATGTGTCAGAATTTATGGGAAAATACTTGGCTCAAAATGCTAGTAACTAATAAGATACCTCCAAAGAATATACAGTACATTTGTTCTTCTAGAATTGTAAATCACTAACAGATTACAAAATTTTTATTTTACAATAATGGCTAATGAAAGTAGTTGCATCTTTGGAAATGCTTATTTGTGGCCTGGAACAGGGCAACTCAAACATATTTTCTACTAGTACTTAGAGACAGCAGGGTTTTCTGGATAGAATCTTTTTCCTTCTCTCTACGCAAGTCATCTCTAAACCATTTGATCCACAGATCTCTCCCCCCCCCCATGAAGACCAGTTTCTGTAGTTTCCTCCACATACAGGAAACTTCCTGTACAGGAAAACTTTCCTTCCTGTGCTTTCCCATCATCCTGCATACACTTGCTCAGTACACTTTTTAAAATGATAAGTGTCAAGATACAATATAATTGGATATTAAAGTCACTAAAATACTTTTATTTACTTTATTCCATGGTTCTCAAATTCTTTGTACATATTCAAATTTACAAAACTCTTAATTTTAAAATAAGCTACAGTATATTAAAGCATAACTTAAAAAAACATCTTTTGTAATCAGCATATTAAATTTAAAGTCCTATACAGTATTTGTTGACTTGAATAGTACACATTTTTAGTTACTATGGTAAATATTCATGACAATTTTACAGCAAAGTTAAATATTTTGTATTTCACTATAAAATCATAAGAAATTAATATAATTACAAATAATGTGTGATTTCTGCTATTACAAGTTCAGAATGACAATCTGAAGAATTCCAAAACTCATAATATGAAGCATCCGTCACATTAATACAAAATTGTATCATACAAACTACAAAATACAAGCAACACCATAATCTGCTTAGTATGGCACCCTCCTCTTGTAAAGAATATTTTTAAGAGGTTTCAGGCGACTTGTAGACAGCTAGAGTAATGCCATTATTGCGATGGATGAGACACTGGCTGTCATGAGAACAACAACACATTACAAAAAAATTTGTTTAAATTCAAATTTTTTTAAATATACTCTATCAAAATGTATTAATAATGCTACACTTGGCAAACTCTTAGCCAAGTAGTATTGAGGACTGAGCATTCTACAGTACTGTTATAATGAAACGAACCACACATCTATGGATCATCCATTAAAATCAGCAGACGACTAGATGATAATACTTATAGCAGTCCAAGCCAAGCAGTATCTCTGTTTTCATTACCTGCTGATGTAGACCTTTTCAAATTTAAACCGTTTGCTAAATTATTCTCACACCCTCTGTCACTATGTGATGAAGTGTGAAACGATGCAAATTTACAGACAGCTCTTATAACAAGTGTTCAAGAAATGTGTAAATATTTTAGTCAAAATAACCTACCAGAAATTCTAACCAAATATTTCCAGTTTGCCAACTGTAGGTAGTAAGTGGGTGATTAACCTTCCCACTGCTGCCCAATGGATGAAGGGTGGTGTACAAGATAAACATATCTATTATCATATGACATATATCTTTCTTGCCCGAAATGCTGTGGGCATTAATGGCTTTAGGCATAGTATGTACTAGCTATCTAGAAATTCAACATTATGTTTAACTGATTTTGAATGTATATATACTTTTACCTGAATAAACATTATATTATGAAACTCACCACATTCGCAAGTTGCTTAGCTTGGAGACTATTTGTGGTTGGTCTCTAACCCAGTAGTTATTGATTTCTGGGTTATAGTGATTAAAGCACTATACCAGTATAGTACTTTAAATTTTGTAACTAGCTTATCAAAATTAACCCATTTTGTAAAGTGAATTTTGGGGCTTAGTCCCTTAGTCTATTTTGTGCCTCTAACCTTGTCTATTACTGCCCACAAGATCAGTATGGAGTGAACCAAGTTTGCCCAGTTATAATGTGTGGTTATACATAATGTTTAATGCATTTACCCCTTAACAAAATTAGTGTTAGAGATTAATATTCATTAATTATTGCATTTACTTATAAATTGTCATTTTTACATCTGAACTATGAATATTTTAGTTGAAGCCTATTTTTGTACAGTAATTAGTGGCTTCATTAAAAATAAATATGTAAACATTAAAATCAGAGCCTATGTAATATATTTTTGTAAATATTAAAAATTTAAAATCTCCAACTTGCTTTCTTGTCTTTTAAATTATTACAAAAATTTAGTCCTGGGAGAATAACCAGGTTTCTTAAATTCTCTTCAAAGGCTTAATTCCAAAGTTGCAGGCTGTACTGTGAAGACTTTCCCTATCCCAATGAAAAGTGGCGGTGGAGGTGTATCTCGGGCAGTAGGAAATACATACATAAAATTACAAATGTTTGGTCAAGGTTAATGAATGTCAGCTACTTGGTAATGTAAAACATATTTTAAAATGCTAATTTTTTTTTTAACAAATATAGCCTTCAGTGGGAGTGATCATCTTCAGCCACTTTTTGAGCGATTTGTCAAATTATGTTGGCTCGAGTAGTGTGTGCCTATTTTAGGGAGACACCGACTATTTCCATTTCCTTTTCATTTTTTATTTATTTTTTATTTATATAAACACACACACACACAAGAGTTCTTACATTTTTGTACAGCCACTAGCATGCATAGCATTTCGGGCAGGTCCTTTATCCTAATTTTCCTCGGAATACGACCCGCCGAATCGTTTAACAACCAGGTACCCATTCACTGCTGGGTGAACAAAGGCTACAGTTAAGGATTGGCACCCAGTCAATCCTCCCTGGCCAGGATACGAACCCAGGCCAAAACGCTCGGGAAGTGTCTTACAACTGTGCCACGAGGATTAAATATTCCCCGAGGGAATATTTTCTCACACTCGTGCGCACAAATGATAATGAAAGCTCCAACTGTCCATAATGAGGTATTATTTAGTGATTTAATATCTACTATTGAAAATTTATCGACTGGATCAATAACTTATTGCAAGCGCATTTACTACTGTATATTCACTAGAACTTCCCATTGCTAAAGAAATACAGAACGGCATTATAATCCACTCATCACAGCATGCCCTTCATTGTTATTTCTGATTACTGTATCACTTTGTAGCTTTAAAAAAATACCAGCAGTATATATGACTGGATTTCTTCAAATATGAAGACCATCATACTCCTTCAGATTCTATATTTCAATTTTGTTTTCTCCCAATAATTCTGATTGTTATCATTACCTTGTGTCTGACCATCTACTAATGAATTTACAAGTATACTATGGTACATACATATGCGAGATATTCTACCCACACCTTATTACAATCAATACAGAAAATTTATAACCAAATACTGTACTGATTACTAAGCTATTTACCTATTATCAGTCTCCAGCAATATGACAGGATCTGGGCTGCCAGGTTCCAACAAGGCTGCTCTATCTGCTAGAGCCGATATCATGCCTGAAGATGCACCAGAAGCTTTTCCCCGAGCTGTTTGGGCAAAGAACAATATGTATACAGTAGTTTTAACTTGACAAACTCTACATGAACAGTGCATTTTACTTAATTTTGATGCTAATCACTAAATTCAAAATCAATCATCATTTGCTGTATATTTTTTTTTCCAACTGCCAAAATCTTATTAAATTATTAGGCCACTGGCTTCTTGTCCCCAATGAAGCCACTAGGAAGATAGTGGTCCTTGGACAAAGGGCCACTATTCAGGTACAGTAAATATTTAAGCCTTTATTAGAACCAAACTTTAAATTATGGCAAGTATGAGAACAGCTCTGTAATATACTCTACATGGAAAAAAACACCAGATTTAACCTTGCGAAACCTTAAAATGTTTCAGCAAAATAAGTAGAAAAATTAATTCAAACAAAAAATTCAAATCAGGGCACATGGGCAGAGATGGGCCGGGTAGGATGCACGTGGGAGGAATCAGGGCAGTAGGGCAGAGGGAGGGTATGCAAGTGGGGAAGATTAACCCCTGCACTGTGCACCAGGTTTCGGCAAAAACTTCTTGGGGTAATTGTCAAGGACATATTCTTGTTGTTTTCATAAATATTCAGGTAAATTTAATGTCAAAATGTTTCCAAACTCAACTATTTTCATTTAAAAACAGAGTAATGAAAACATTAAAAAACATTAAAATATAGCCTAATAAAAAAAAAAAATCAAGAGCGCCTAAAGGCATTTTGGGCAGTGCAGGGGTTAAGAGTGTCAGAGGGATAATCAAAAGTAATATTACTCACCACCAAGACAGAGACCATGATTGTCAGCACAGAGTACGCCTGAAACCCCTACACTGTGGGATCTGGGAGTACATAATTTGTCAAAGTTTAAACATTTCAAATTTAGGTTACTATAATAGGCATAGGTCTATATTATTGGTACAGGTATTCTTTTATTTCATCTAAAAATTACCCATTATATAAATCTTATTTAATTTAAAAGCAGAATAAATTGAATTCTCAAGAGTATATATGTACTGTATTCACAAAAATTCACACATTGACAATAATCACTCAATATATATATATTTTAGACCTGCCTATAGACAACCAGGTGGGGCACCTGACTGTACCAAAGTCTCTCTCATCCTCCCCCCCCTCCACCTTGAGAGTACCTGGTGGCACTTGGGATAGTTGTTTCTTCCCCCACTCCATTTAATTTTCCTGGCATCAGTGAATATTAATGTATATTACTATAATAAATTAAAAATTTATATTTATTGTCCTCAAAACATTTACAGTGATAGCTGGCAGCCAGTGCCAAAAAAAACCATGAGCCAGTTTGTCACCATGGCACACTGTTTCTTTGAATTTTTTTCTAATTCAGTGTAGAGAGAGGCTCCGTGCTCTCAAGGCTGTGGTAGGCTACCACCCAAGCTATGGTGCAAATGTGAGAATTGGGAAAATGATGTATCTCATATTAGATCTCTTGATCAATTATGCTGCACCTATGCTTGCTCTAGTGCCCGAGAGAAACCTTTGAGGACTGACACGAAGCCATTTGGGTTATCCTCGGATGCCACAGTACAACTAAATTACTAAACATGAGGAAGGAACTGAATATTCCATGCGTAAGTGATCGTATCACTGAAATTAATGTTTTAATTGGTATCAAGATGTTTAGGCTATCCCACCCTAACCCCCCTGCACAGAAGCCCTCAAACCCTTCTTTCTTGAAGATCAGCATCTCTCTAAATAGGATGGAGGGAAATCATTTAATGTCATTTAAATCATTTAATAAATGATTCAGAAATACAAATACAAATATTTATTCAGGTAAAGCACATACATACAAGGTGAGATACAAAAAGTTGATGGATTTATAGATAAGAGCTAGTACATACAATGCCTAAAGCCGCTATTACGCAAAGCGTTTCGGGCAGGAAAAACACAGACTAAAACTTAAAATACTAATTGAGATTAAAGTATAAATTGAGCTGAGAAAAACTAAAAAAAATGAAAAAAAGAGGGGGAAACATGGCAGAAAAAAAATCAAAAACACAATTTGGTCAACAAACAGAATTGTTTAAAATAGTAGACATGGATTGACATTTTGGGGGTGAGGTAGGTTACATGGAGTTAATTAGGTAGCACTTAGTTTTTATCTTAATCTGGTTAGGAGAGGTACAGTTTTTAACATAATTGGGAAGGTCATTCCACATTCTAGGTGAATTATTATCATGTATGTGTACATGGATGTATATGTACATGTGTATATAACAAACAAGTGTGTACCTATAGCTTCACAAGACTGTCACTTGCGATACTAAACGAACTATGGGGTTCAGTTCCTGAATCAATTATGTGCCTCTGTAACCCTTTTCCCCCCACGGCATGGATCTGGGGTGTATAATAAAGAAATTAATTACTATGTAACTTGTAGCCCATCACTCAACGGGCAACACCCACCCCTCCATGGGGGGGAAAAAAACATATAAACGCCCACCACCCTGCTATTAAAAATACGATCCGTCCGTAGCCATCATGTAAGCTTATAAAACCTCTAAGTACCGCCCTTGACACCCCCAGAGCTGAGAGAGGGAGAGATCCTGGAAGCATCGACTTACAGTTCATCAAGACACTTGTCAAGAGGTCTCTCCATGACGGCGGCTCAGCTGACACTGATGGCGTCGCTTACTTCACGACACTATACACCTTCGCCTTCATTTGTCCCGGAACACCTTTTTTAATCAAACCTTTTGTTTAATTGTCAAGGGAAAGCGCCAAGCTATTAAGATTTTATGGCACTTGGAAGGGGTCAGGATAAGGCTTTGGGATGGGACGGGGGTAAGGAATGGTGCCCAATCACTTGGACGGTCGGGGATTGAACGCCGACCTGCATGAAGCCAGACTGTCCAGTTTTATAATAAAATTGTAAAACCTAATCTAACCTATGCTATTTTAACCGTTTGTAAAGCATATTGTATGGCGCAATACTAGTGTATTAGTATAGTATATATTATTAGTATATAATAATAATTATTACTATTAATTATTAATAGATAAATGCATTTAGAACGTTTAGACAGATGTACGATAGAACATAAAATAACATTTAATTAAACCTGCATTCCTTAAAGGAGATAACAATTCATTTAATCAATGCATCCATACTGTCTATCTTAACTTAAATTTTCCTGAGAACCACTCAAGTGACCTCGATGGGGACAGCAAGCCGGCAGTTTGTCAAAGAAAAAAGTCCCCCAATAATTTGTCCTGATAACTTAATTGAGCTGAATATTTAATTGTAACTGGACAAACTAACTTAATTCCTTACAGCGGGAAGTAAATGACGTAAATTAAACAATAATAAGTAAGGAGTAAATATATTCTGCCATCTTGTGGTTGGTTTTCTTTTAGTTTTAAGGTCTAACTTAACCAAAAGTTAAAAATTCTGTTGTTGGGATTAGTTTGTGGCCGGACAGTGGCCGAGGTCGTCCACCTGTGTCATTATCTCTCTCTGGGCTTGTGTATCATGTAAGTTAATCTTAACACCTTCCTCGTGCGGGTAGCTTAGAGGAGGTAGTAGTCTGTGACGACTATAGGGAAAGCTGTAAGCAGGTGTTTTACCGAATATGTTATATTTAACCCCAATTAAATATTTGCGGTTGTCGTGTCCAAGCAATGCGTCATCTGGGAAATGGTTACACCAATATTTTATGTTATCATGTTGTTGGTGTGTTAGATGATGTACGTTTAAGGTAGCTCTTGTGTCCTCTAGTGGGGTTGATGTCAGCTTATGGGGTGGACCAAGCTGGACAACTCGCCCCACTGTCAGCTCTCACCTCCTACTGTCAGCCTCTGACAGTTATCATAACACTGAACAATTGACATGTTCTGTATACAATAAGAGTCAAAAATGGTTTCAAGTGATGCTGTTCTTAATTCAACTCTCATTCCCCCCACCAAAAAAAATTAATATAGCCATCATTATGATCTCGTATATCTTGCCCTAACTTAATCTAATCTGTACGTGACCTAATATATCCAATAAGCCAAGATTACTAAATAACTGTAAGAGTTAAACTATAATTACGCAACATGTCCTGATATAGTACATATGATATATGTAGCTAGGTAAGGTTACGTGAATTTACCCGTGGGCCACTCTCTCTGTAGTGGCCTCAATGAGGGACAAGAAGCAGGCAGCTTGTCAAACGTCCCCCCCCCCCCCATTTGTTCTGATGATTTATCAAGCTGAGAATGGTGGCAGTATGTCGGCATTTACAGCTTTGGCAACTAGGCAGTTATATGGGTTTATGTCCCCCCTGGATGAAAAAGCATCTCCTCTTTTTTCTGTTCTATCTTTCTTTGTTCTTTTTCAATGTTCTACATTGTGGCTTGTTGAGCTTGAAACCGTTGTTTCTCGATTGTGCTACATCTGACATTTTAAAGAAGTGATCTGAAGCAATATCCTTCAAGTTGTACAGTATTTTAAGTTTTCAGTGAGTGCTGGCTCTATGGCCCTTGACCATTACTGGTGTGAAAGTTGACCTAATTCTGGAATGCTTTTTGTCGCATGTTGTTGAACTTTCTCCAAAGTTTTATGTCTTTATAAAGATAAGGTCTTCATGTTTGGATACAATAATCCAAGTAGGAGTATACCAGAGATTTAATAATTCATTGTTTTGTGGGAAAAGGCAGTTGGTTTATGTGTACAGTACATGTTAGGCTTATATCAAGGTCACCCCCCCCCCCCCCACCGGGTCGAATTATTGACCCTCCCTGGAGGGTCATTAATTCCCAGCAACCCAACAATAAGCTGACTAACTCCTGGGTACCTATTTACTGCTAGATGGACAGGGGCATTAGGTGATAAGAAATGTGCCCAACCATTTCTGTCTCACTCGGGATTCAAACCCAGAATTCTCGATTGTGAGTCCAGAATAAACTTGACTGTACTACTGGGAACCTCAATACAGTTTAATTTATGAACAAAAATATTTATACAGTTAAATAGCCACTTTCTTTTCCTTCAAGTCAAAGGTTCGTTTGACTAAAAATGTTTATTCAAATGTTTATTCAGGTAAAGTACATACATACAAGGGGTGATAGAAATATTGCTGAATTTATAGATAGAGCTAGTACATACAATGCCTAAAGCCACTATTACGCAAAGCGTTTCGGGCAGGAAAAACACTAAAGACTAAAACTTAATACTAATTGAGATTAAAGTATAAAATGTGTTGAGACAATATAAAAAAAAAAGGGGGGGAACATGGCAGAAAAACAGCAAAAATACAATTTGGTCGACAAACAGCATTGTTTAAAAATAAGCCATGGGTTGACATTATAGGGGTAAGGTAGGTTACAGGGAGTTAATTAGGTAGTGCTTAGTTTTTATCTTAAACTGGTTGAGAGAGGTACAGTCTTTAACATAATTGGGAAGGTCATTCCATATTCTGGGTCCCTTGATTTGTAGAGCATTTCTAGTTTGATTTAAGTCGTACTCTTGGAATATCAAAAAGGTATTTGTTTCTGGTGTGGTGCTCATGGGTTCTGTTACAACCTTCAATGAAGCTTTTAAGGTCAGGATTGGCATTACAGTTCAGCATTTTATATATATATAATACACATGAGAGGATGTGCAGTGACTTAATATCTAACATATTCAGAGATTTGAGTAGGGGTACTGAGTGATACTGAGGTACTATTTCTTAGGTTTGGTTGCATTTTTTTCTTACTTCAGCTCCCACTTGTGCAACTTTCAGAGATTGGCAGAGTCCAACTCCATGGTGCTTTTCTTCATCAGTCTGTAGCAAGGTAATGTTGTTGATTTGGTAATTGTGATGTGCACTGTTATACCCTACAAGGTCTTGCATTTTTCAGTATTAAAAAGTACTGTATTTGCCAGTCTTCTGACCGTTTGTAGAGTTCATGAAATCTTTTTGTAAGGCCTCTGTATCATTTTCTCTTCACTTCTTAAATCTTAGTGTCTAAAAATTTGATGTGGTTTGTAATATTCTCATCTACAGTATGTCATTGATGTAAATGACAAAAGGGGGGGTTACCCCCAAAATGTACAGCCCATCCTCTGAATAGACAGTACGTTTTAATACAAAATGTAATAGGTACAATCCTGACTATCGGCATAGTACATAAATACACTTAATGGCCAGCATTGCACCAAAATATTGTGAACATTAGAGTTTATCTGAAAAGCTGTATAAAAAACCACGACCTAACCTAACCTTGGGAGTGTTGGAGGACAAGCATGTAAATAGCATTTATTGCTTCTTAAATACCATTAGTACTTAACTATAGCTATATTGACATTACAATTTTATAAAAGTAATAAAGCTAAAGTCTTTCAATAAATTATAAAGTAACTCAGGATATTTAAAAAAATTTTTTTTTTATAAAATCTCTATTGTTTAATAAAACTGAAAAAGAATATCTTTATATTTAAAACTTGTGTTTATAGAATTGAACACGAAAATGTCAACCTAAAAATTTTGAGTGTACTGTATTAACAGAAAATGAGGAGAATATATGGGGAGGTAAATATAATAGCACAATTAAGTGTATTTATGTACTCTGCAGACAGTCAGGAATGTACTTATTACATTTAGTATTAAAACATACTGTCCATTCAGAGGAAGGGTTGAAAATGTAACAACACTCGCTACATTTCCCAGTCGGATTCATTTCCATTAAGGATGACCCTTTGCTTTCTCTCCTTTAACCATTGTTTTATCCATTATGATATTCTACCATTTATTCCATATGCTTGTAATTTTCTTGCCAGTCTTATGTGGTACCTTATCAAAAACTTTAGTGAAATCCACGTATACTACACCTATTGGAAGTCCTTTATCAGAATAGCTGGGTTACCATTTCTAAAGATATGAGTAGGTTTGTAGGGCAGGAGTTATTTTGAACAAAACCATGTTGTTAATTTTACTAGAATGTACATAGTGAGATAGTGAAGGATTCCCTCCCTTAGGATTCTCTCCATGAGCTTGCAGATGTGTAAGGTCAAGCTGATTGAATGGTAGTTTTCTGCTGAGCTCTTTCTGCCTGTTTTTGAAAATAGGGGTAACATTTGCATATATTGAATCTAGAGGAGAACTATCCCTTGGTCCAGAGATTTTCTGAAAAGGCATTCAATGGTAGACAGTTCATCTACCAGTTCTTTTATGGCTTTGGACTGAATTTCATTCACACCTTGGGCTTTTGAATCCTTTAGTTTGTCAATGCTCTTCCTGATTATATTGCACATTATGGGAATATCCCTTACTTTGGTCTCTTCACCTGCTTCAAACATTTGTGTGGGTATTGGGATATTGTCTAATTTCTCTAATGTGAACACTAATGTAAAGTATTCATTCAGAGTGCTGGGCAGTCTTCATTCAGTTTTGGCTGCTCTTTTATTGCGAATTATAACTGGGTTGGAAAATTTCTGGAGCATTTTGGGCAGGTCCTTAATCACTGCACTGCACATAGCGCCTTTAGGCACTCTGAGAGTTGTGCAATTTTTTTTTTAATTAGGCAATATTTTAATGTTTTTTAATGCTTTCATTATTTTTTGTGTTTTGAAATAAAATAGTTGAATTTGGAAACATTTTAACATTAAATTTACCTGAACATTTATAAAAACAACAAAAATATGTCCTTGACAATGGCACTAAGAAGTTTTTGCTGAAACCAAATGCACAGTGCAGGGGTTAATCCAAATTTTTCCTGGAATACAACCCGACAAATCATTTAACAACCACAAATGTGTGTCATGTAATGTAAATTCCATGTACAATAGATTCTAGTTATATGCTGATAAACGTAATGGATCTGAGAAGGTATTTGTTGAAACTTTCCCCATGTTCACAGCTCGCTTCTTACACCAGATGGAATTCGAGAGTGACTTGGCACGTTCGTCCGAGTACAAAAGTTTCCGTAGTACAGTGCCTCTCAAGCAAATAGTAGTTGACAATGATGCATTGAAGGTGAGTAGTATTGAAAATACTGTATACAGTAGTATTATCAATGTTAGCTTTCCCGGACTGGTTCCCTGTAGCTTTCTAGTGGCTTAGTGTCTGGTACAAGAGAGAGAGAGCATGGGAATCTGAAGTTGACCCAAAACTGCATACTTGAGTCATTCTTATGTAGAATTACACAATGTTCACAATGTACACAATGTTCTGAAGGCCTCTTTAAGTTTTAGCTCCTGGTAGCTACTCGAACATTTGATAGTTATGCATATTTTGCAGATATTTTGTTCACGTGTTGTTTGTATGTCATATTCATGGTTATACTGTACTGCCAGTATAGCACAGACATTAGCACTGCCCCTATTAACTAGTACTGTCCTATGAGCTTTTCCCCACTCTTATTATTTTGCATTTATTGTAATTACATTCTATAACCCATCTTTTTTAAATTGCATTCAGGCCTCCCAGTAATCTCCCATAGTCATTTTCCTTACTAATTTTTCGAATTAGCTTTGCATTGTTTCCAAGCTAGGATCCGAATTATTCTAGTTCTCTGTCGGGTCATTGATATACGGTACATGTACTCGTTCCTGATGCACAGTGTGTGTGTCCATTGGGTTCCATAGTGTTGGCTGCAGATGTTTTTTACAGTGTATGTCTGATAAAGTTGTATCCAGTACAGTATTTATTTAATGTATTAATGGTCCAATTAGTTAAATAAGGAATAAAATGTTTGATGAAAATATATTTCATGAGAGGTTTATTCTCTACTATCAGAGAAGAAATAAATAACAAAGGTCTGCTGCACTATACAGTTCAATACTGTACTCTATTAGGTTTTTGTAGCTCAAATTAGAAATCTATTAAAGAATACCTATCTTGACATTGAAATGTTGCAGGTATGGAAGCTTTACGATGCTGGACCAAGGAGTGTCCGATGCCCTCTTGTGTGTCTTCCCCCAGTTTCTGGAACTGCAGATTCCTTCTTCAAACAAATTTTACCTCTCACTGCACGTGGCTATAGAGTCATATCGGTGAGGAACCTCATGTCCATTATTCTTGTTTGTTGCTACTTCAAGATTCTGTTTGTCTGAGAACTATTAGTGGCTACTTCAAGATTGTTTGCAATGAGAACTATCAGTGGCTTTATTTGCGGTACCTACAATCAGCATATAAATGCAGATTTTATTTAGATACAAATATCAAAGTTTATAACACAGTACTGTATAGGTTAAATTGAACATTTAATTGCATATACAGTAGTTCAAAGCAGTTTTTGTACCCCAATATATGCATTAACTAAGTACAGGTTTTTGGGAGAGCCCCCCCTCCCCCTTGCACCATGAGCTATGCACACTGCTACAGCCAAGCCTTAAGAAAATGCACGAAGCCTCTGTGACCAAACCTTGTTACTGTGAATCAGGGGTGTTCTTCCAGTACAGTGCTCTGGCTATTGAGAGAGAGTGTTCGACTTAATACCTCAGAAAACTAAGTTTTCACCAAACAAGATTCTGTTCCTGACTCCCAGTAGACAAGGGGTGGGTCACGGAGGCCTGTTGCACTTTCCTAAAGTTTTGCAGTATGATCACTTAGCTCAGATAGCTACATGGGCACTTCCAGAAAATGATGGTTCATTATCAGCCTGGCCCCAGGCTGGGCTCAGAGAGTAAAAGAACTCCAAAACCCTCTCCAGGTATCTTGAACTATTGATTTTTAGCCTTGCTGATCAGGCAATAAATAATGTACAAATAATTGAATTTGTTGTGCGCTCAACCATGAGGCCACGTTTTCAGGTGTGCCATGAGAGTATCCTAGTGTTTGGGTTGATGATAGGCTCATTCAAGAGATGTTTGAATGATCTACCTTTCAGTTAATTTAAAAAATATCCAACATAATATTTTGGCTAGCAGATGGCTAATTATCATAAAATGCTTTTTATATGTGGTCAAAATAATTGAAATATTTTTGGAATTGAGACCAGGTATGGCAGATATTCCAAATGCTTTGTGTGCTACTTGAAAAGAAACCACCGAGTAGTTTTCATTAAAGTTAGACGAGCCATCCTCTGATAATGAAACAATAATTTTCTCTAGGTGTATGATCTGTCCTTGATTGTCATGGGTAAGAAGCACTAGAATGACCAGATTGTTAAACCACTTACATCAATTGTTTCAAAAGTAAAAATATAGTGCTAGGAGCTACATACTGTAGCTCACAGTACCATTGTATTTGAGAGCCTCCATGAGTCAAGTGAACTTGCTCTGCGGAGCGTAGAAAGGGAGAAAACTGAAAAAACAGACTCGGCACTTCATAGACGAATTTACGCCAGTGAAAGCAAGGAATGTGCAGTTGTAATTTTTATGTAATGCCATAAGTTGTTAATTAAAAGATTAACAAGCTTAAGTTATATTTTTGAGCTGATATTATGGTAAAGTTATTGATAAGATGGGTGTCAGATGTTGATGGGGCACAATTTTAGTGCTTGCCATAGGCACCATTTTCCAGGATGGAGTGAGGCTAGATGTAACTGCCGTGATACTGCTTCTTCCTCAGCCATGAATATATTAATTACATAATCCAATTACAGTAAATACTTTATATTTAAAAAAGACAAATAAGAAATTGTTTATTCATGTAAAAACATTGAGTATTTATAGCAAATCTACTCTATATTGTGTATGAGTGATTAGGCTAATAGCACAGTAGTTACATCAGTGTTGCTTTTTTTCCTTGGCCATAAATACTTCGTTCACACACAATAGACTCGATACAGTTGATTTTCTGTTCTAATCGAATTTGGAGCCAGTTACCCTTAGACTTGTTTGTAACATAATGAAAGTGTCTTGCCTTTTCTTCCTTCTTCAAGTTGAGTTAGGTATTTTACTACCATCACCCTTCACTTGTGCTGTTCGAACCTCTTTGGTCACTTGATTTGGTCCTGGACATTGTCCTCTCCTCGGTTCTGGGTGTCTCCTTCGTTTGAATGCTTTTCTCATGAATTTCAAACATGGTATATTGGCCAGTCTGTTCAGTACTGTGAATTGTTGGCTCCTATAAACCACCTCTGCCCGAAACGCATTGCGTAATAGTGGCTTTAGGCATTGTATGTACTAGCTCTATCTATATATTGATCCATTAATGTAACATCACTTGTATGTATGTACCTTACCTGAATAAACATATTTATTTATAACATATATATTTATTAATTTACTATATACATAATACTATATTTCCTGTTCATTTATCAAATGTATTTTTAATTGCCATGTGCACTAGAATCTCAATTTTAGTTTTGACTCCTTTGTGAATTGTATTGTTTTATTTTAGTTGCAGTGAAACCCTGATTTTCTTTTATTTCAGGTAGAGTATCCGGTATACTGGACTGTTCTTGAATGGTGTGAAGGCTTCAGACGTCTCCTTGATCTTCTTGAGATTGATCGTGCTCACTTGTTAGGGGTTAGTTCAAATTTTTATAGTTAAATATCGGCTCAAAGATTTTACATTAGGTATATCTCTTGAGCTACTGACTTGAAATTTAAATTTCATAATGTGAAATTTGTATATTTTTTCTTTTCCTTGAAACAGTGGCCAAATTTATTTGCAAAATAAAATTTTTATGAAATATAGGATTTGAATATACTACTGGACTGAGTATGCAAATAAGTAAGAACATAGCAGGTATGCTAAATTGCAGTATCAGGCATAACACTTCAATATTTCTGAATCTTGAGAGAGAGAGGTAGATGACGCGAGAAAGGGGTGAGAAAGACAACAGTAAATAAGCTTCGGCTCTCAGGTTGCTGCTCCTTTACCCTTTTGCCTAATGTAGCCTAGCTCCTAATAATATACATCATTCTCATCATTATCACATTCTTACTTTCATGAGATAGGGTGGCACTGACTATGAGAAAAATGAAGCTTTGAATGTAATGAAATGCCCTTTTTTGGTGGGCCTTTCTGTAGCTCTTCAAAGTTAGGTGCAGGTAATGTATTGTCAAGCCTTGGGAAGTCGCACCATGCTTCCCAGACACACCCTGACCTACAGGGAGCCAAGACTAGAATCTGCCTGTGGGAAGAGAGGGGATCCTGGGGATCAAAGATGTACCACAGGGTTCAGTTCTAGCACCTGTAATGTTCATTATCTATATACAATGATCTACCAGAAGGAATACAGAATTATATGGACATATATGCTGATGATGCCAAGCTACTAGGGCAGATAAGAAACTTAGAGGATTGTCATGCCCTTGAAGAAGACCTGGATAAAATAAATGTATGGAGCAACACTTGGCAAATGGAATTTAATGTGAATAAATGCCTCATTAGGGAATTTTGAGTAAGAGAAAGTAGGCCACACACACACAACCTACAAATTATGTGAAAATTAGCCTAAAGAATTCTGATAAAGAAAGAGAGATATTCAGGGGGTTCTGGATAGAAAACTGTCACCTGTGGACCACATAAAGAACATTTTGTGAAAAGTGTATGCTATGCATTTCCAACTTTAGTATTGCTTTTAAATACATGGATGGTGAAATATTAAAGAAATTGTTCATGATGTTTGTGAGATCAAGGTTGGAATATGCAGTGATTGTATGATACCCATAGCACAATCATTCTTCTTTCCATACCCATACTCATTCCTCTCAATGTTTGCTGATGATGCAAAAATTATGAGAAGAATCAGGACATAAAGATCAACAAAGACTACAGGACGACCTGGCCAAACTGGAGGAATGGTCTAGAAAGTGGCTACTAAAGTTTAACACAGGAAAGTGTAAAATAATGAAATTGGTTGAAGGGAGCAGGAGGCTGAACACAAGGTACCATCTGGGAGGTGAAATCCTGCAAGAGTCAAATGAAGAGAAAGATCTGGGGATTGATATCACACCGAACCTGTCCCCAGAGGCCCACATCAAAAGGATATCATCAGAGGCATATGCTAGATGGGCCAACATAAGAACTGCCTTTAGAAACTTGTGTAAGAAATCGTTCAGGACCTTGTATGTCAGACCAATCCTGGAATATAAAGCTCCAGCCTGGAGTCCATACCTAGTTAAACACAAGACAAAGTTAGAGAATATTCAGAGGTATGTCACCAGATTAGTTCCAGAACCGAGAGGTATGAGCTATGAGGAGCTAAACCTCACGTCCCTGAAAGGTAGAAGAGTAAGAGGAGACATGGTCACCACCTACATAATTCTCAGGGGAATTGACAAAGACAAACTATATAGCATGGGTGGAACATGAACAAGGGGACATAGGTGGAAACTTAGTACCCAAATGAGCCACAGAGACATTTGAGAAAAAAATTCAGTGTCAGAATAGTTAACAAATGGAATGCATTAGGCAGTGATGTGGTTGAGGCAGACTTCATACACAGTTTCAAATGTAGATTTGATAGTCCAATAGGCTCCAGAATCTGTACACATTTTGACAGTTGAGAGGCAGGACTAAAGACCCAAAGCTCAGCCCATGCAAGTAAAACTAGGAGAGTACAAGAATCACATCAATAAACTGAAAAAGATGTACAACTAAATGGCTTCCGGAACTGAAAAACAAGAGCTACGAGGAGAGGTTAGAGGCATTAAATATACCAAAACTAGAAGATAGAAGAAAAAAGAGGTAATGTGATCACTACACTCAAAATAGTAACAGGCATCGACAAAATTGACAAAGAAGAATTTTTGAAAACTGCAACTTCAAGAACAAGAGAACATAGGTTCAAACTAAGGAAACAAAACTGCCAAAAAACATTAGAAAGTTTACTTTTGCAAACCGTGGTAGACAGTTGGAACACATTAAGTGAAAGGGTGGTTGAGACCAAAACTGTCAGTAGTTTCAAAGCGCCATATGACAGAGTACTGGGAAGACGGGACATCACGAGTGTAGCTCTCATCCTGTAACTATACTTGGGTACAGTAATTACATTTAAGTAATTATAGGTCACATAATACCAGAGAGCCTGTTCAAAGAGACCAGCACAGACAAATCCTTCATGCCAAGGCTGAAGAGGAGGAGATAGTACAGTTTCTGATCCTCCTCAAAATAAACCTCAAAAACCCTGGAGCCCACTTTCACTGGAGGAGAGGTAGGGCCAGGGATGGGGGCCAACAATCCTCCTGGGGTCAAAACTGGGATGGATAAAGAAATGGAGCACAAGACACAGCAGCCAGGAATCATAAATGCCCGGATGGCAAAGGAAGAACACACAAGGAAGCCACAACCTGGAAATTACCGAGGCTATTCAAGAGAAGAGCACAGGTCTACAGCAGCTACCACACAGTGGACAATGGCCTCTGCTACAAGGTCATAGGTTCACAGCAGCTTACAGGAGCAGGAAGAAGGCAGATCTGTATATAACAGGCAAAATGGTGGTGTCAATTGTAAACTGAGGTGTCAGGTGTGGAAGTGGATGTGGAACCCATAACAACCAGACCAACAGCACTGACAAGACAAAGAAAGCCCACGGGGATGAGGTATGCTGTTATGCAGGACATGATACATAAAGGCGGATATGCCAGGTGCAACGGAAGGATACAGAACCTTGCCCATGAACATTGTCAAGAAAGGCCTATGAAACCATGAACAAGAATAATCACATTTGGGAGCCAAGCTCAACCTCATCTAAAATGCTAGACCCCAACACACGCACGGAGCAGAGCCAAGTGTGATAACTACACAAGCTGACAGTTAACTGCTACCTCTCCTCAAGAGGCTTGGCAGTGGAGAGGAAGTCCCATACACTACCCAGAAGCAAAGTGATTCAAGAGGATTCCTCCCAAAAAAAAGGGGAACTTGAACCCCTTAGAGCAGGAATCTTTGATGTGGACAAAGGACATGCAAACCATCAACTAGGGAAGGTAACCCTGTCTTACAGCTAGAGCGAAATAAAAAGCGGGGTACACATAATGTGGGTGTTATAAATTGATGTATAATGGTCCCTCTCAACACAACTGGAAGCCCTTAATAATTTTGGTGTGAAATGCATTTAGAAATGCAATATTCTATTCACATAGATATATCAGCTGATTTATTTACTGTTTATGCAAGTAACTAATGTGATGGTTATTTGCATAAACAACATAACTTGGTATGTTGATTATCTACTGAACTTTTGAGGAGGTTAATACTACTTAAAAAAAAATTGATTTTACACATTTCTTTTTTATACCTCACAAAAACTGACCATTTCAGGCCTCACTTGGTGGATTTTTGGCGCAGAAGTTTGCCGAGACCACCTTCAATTGTCCTCGTGTCGCTTCACTCATCCTCTGCAATTCCTTCATTGACACCAAGATATTTAATTATGCAGACTCCTCTTCTGTGTAAGTGCTTACTGTACTAGTAAAGAGGATAAGTAATTATTTTCTTGAAGATTCGTGTGCAGTGCCTGTGACTAATTTATGGGGGAAGAGGATACAAGAGAGGAGAGTGAGAATGTAAAGGAGAGGTAAAGAGGGGAGAGAAATGGACAAAGAGGGAGGAGAAAAAAAGGGAGAAGGGGTGATGGGAAGAATAGGGAGATGTAAATCAAGCGGGTGAGGGAAGGAGAGAAGGGAGGGGTGAGGGAGAGAGAGGGGAGTGAGGGAGAGAGAGGGGGGAGAGGGGGGTAAGGGAAAAAGAGTGAGGGTGAGGGAGAGAGGGGTAAGAGAGAGAGTGGGGTGAGAGAGGTAGGAGAAGGGAAGGAAGGGAGAGAGAATAAGAGGAAAGGGGAGAGGTAATGCTGTAATGTTACACAGTACTTGTTGTACAGTACTTGTACTACAGTACAAGCAAATTTGGCAAATTTATTTGAAAATTTATGGATGTATGAGCTTTGCCTTAGTTATCCTTCTTTGCAACCACACTGATCATGGTAGTAATAATTTTTAAATCCTACGTACTATTTCTAAATGTTTGCTTCATTAACTCTTTGTACGTGTTGTTAAGATAAAGAGTTTGATGAGTAAACATTTCTGTACTGGGCCAACTGTCAACACATGTAGGTCACACATTTTTACTACATAATTGTATCTAGGAAAGTCAATGTTACCCATAATCCAAATTATGAACATTCTGTCACTGTTCAACTTGTATATTTAACAGTTTGGGTGATTTTTAAATTTAGTGAAAGGCAAATACAGGGAAAGGGAGGATGACTACAAGATTTGCTTTCACCACTTAACACTTAACAGACAGAGGTTCATCTGGTATTTTGTGTGTTCCTGGTGGTGTCCTCTTTTTATTGGTATCAACAAGGCATTGTTTGATCTTGTCCTTGCTCCCGTTAGGTATGGACATGCCATGCCATGTCCAGGTGTCCTGGCTCCCGGCGGCATTAGTCTCGCTTGATCACAAGGCTCACATGCATTTGACAGAAGATTTTGCTTGCCATTCATACAAATTCCTTTTCCATCACAAAAGCCTGCCACTGTATCTTTTTTGCAAAAGCAGTGCAAACAACTTTAGTGTCTCACTGGCCACTATTGCCAACAACAAGGCCAGCAAAGTAAGCATAGCCCTCAGCTGTGACTGCAGCTGAGTTATAGACAAATAAGAGTCAGGCTATGAACTTGGTGGGGGGGGGGAGAGTATTCATAGGGACCAAATCGGCAAAGTTACGAAGTAAACAGCCTCAGTGAAGCACAAAATTGCCAAACACTGAAACTCTTCTCAGAGATGAGAAAGGCCTTGAGGAGTCACAGTGAAGATAATTACTTGGTATATTTCTTGAACACACACCCAACTTACAGAGCTGAATTCTGACTCCAGCATGAACCATAACAAGACCCACACACAAAATAAGGCAGCTAACTACTACCTCCACTTAAGAGGTCTCACTTCCATAACAAAGTGCATAAGCACTTTCCAGAATTTAAAATGGAATACCCCAAAGGTACAACTCAAAAATCTTGAGGAAGAAGGGAAGGGGGTCCTGAAACAAGGACTGAAGTGGACCAAGGTAGCAGGAGACATTTAAGGTAAAAAGTGTACACGTGTGAAATGATGATGGAAGTACGAACTCCAAATGTGTGGATCATGTACATAATTTATATACATAAAATATACACACATATAAAGATACATATATACATACAAGAGTTCTTACATTCTTGTACAGCCACTAGCATGCATAGCATTTTGAACAAGTCCTTAATCCTAATTTTCACACGCATACAGGAAGAGTCATGACCAGGTTGTGGGGACGACCGCCGGAGTCCTGATGGTCACAAGGTCCAGCAACTAGAGAACTGTCTTCCTTTATTATCACGACTTTTGTTAGGCCAAAGCTAGAATATGCAGTGGTTGTGTGATGCCCATATCTTAAGAAGCGCATCAACAAACTGGAAAAGGTGCAAAGACATGTTACTAAGTGGCTCCCAGATCTGAAGGGCAGGCGCTACGAGGAGAGGTTAGAGGCATTAAATATGCCAAAACTAGAAGACAGAAGAATAAAAGGTGATATGATCACCCAAAATATGATCACCCAAAAGGTGATATGGGGGGCCGGTCGGCCGAGCGGACAGCACGCTGGACTTGTGATCCTGTGGTCCTGGGTTCAATCCCAGGCGCCGGCGAGAAACAATGGGCAGAGTTTCTTTCACCCTATGCCCCTGTTACCTAGCAGTAAAATAGGTACCTGGGTGTTAGTCAGCTGTCACGGGCTGCTTCCTGGGGGTGGAGGCCTGGTCGAGGACCGGGCCGCGGGGACACTAAAAATCCCCGAAATCATCTCAAGATAACCTCAAGATGATCATTGCGTACAAAATTGATAAAATCGATAAGGAAGATTTCCTGAGACCTGGAACTTCAAGAACAAGAGGTCATAGATTTAAACTAATTAAACAAAGATGCCGAAGAAATATAAGAAAATTCACTTTTGCAAACAGAGTGGTAGACGGTTGGAACAAGTTAAGTGAAAAGGTGGTGGAGGCCAAGACCGTCAGTAGGTTCAAAGTGTTATATGACAAAGAGATCTTGGTAGACGGGACACCACGAGCGTAGCTCTCATCCTGTAACTACACTTAGGTAATTACACTTAGATAATTACATCCCCAGGAAGCAGCCCGTAGCAGCTGTCTAACTACCAGGTACCTGTTTACTGTGACGTGAATAGGAACATCAGGGTGAAAGAACCCTGCCCATTTGTTACAGCCTCCGTCGGGGATCAAACCTGGACCCTTAGACTACAAACCCTAAGCACTGTCCACTCAGCCATCAGGCCCCCTTATGGATAGCTGGCCACAAAATTGTAAAGGGTTCCTGTCTAAGCAGTCTGGTGGTCTCTGGCAGGTGTTAATTGGAAGGTCTGTTGCTTGTTTCAGAGTTTCTCAAACATTCTCAGGAGTAGTAGTTTAGTGTTGTGCAACTCCTTCATTTTAGGGCAGATTGCCTGAGTAGTGGGTCATTCTCTGATTTCCACATGCGCCATGGCCCTATGAGGGGGGGCGGGGGCAAGTCATTGTGAAATTGCATTTGCTTCTGATGGGCAGAGATAGTTAAAGAAGCATGACACTGAACATGGCCCTTGGGTGCCAGTGGAGCTATCAAGAGGGCCTACCCAGGAATAATTTAAAACAATAAAACCAGGAGCTGTATAGGAGATACAATAATTACAGTATAAACATCCTCATGTACACTGTTTACCTGTCACTCTCAGTCCCAGTTCATTGGTGTGGGTTGTGACTACTGGTTCTTATGCATTCCCTTTTTTCACTTTACCATATGATAGAGCAATCATTTGAAAACATTTTCAAGTAAAACAACAAAACATAAGACAGTAAAAAGTTAAACATATGTAGAATGACTGAAAACCTTCATGGGCATCGATCCTCCAGCCTGCTTAACCTTGGTTCACTTGAGTATTGGCAGCAGAATGCAAAATGCAAGCATGTTAAGTTCAAATGCCATTACATTTTCATTCAATACTAAATGTTGATAGAGGCATTGTAATTCATTGTAGAATCTCTTTAAACTGCAGCATTGAAATATTTTCTACTGCATTATATGCCTTTGTTCAAGCTATTGGGTTGTCAGTTTGTTTTAGATTACTGATGTGAACTATAGAACAGCTTTATTATTTGCACAGTTTTTGGATGCTACCAGCAACACTTTTGAAGAAGATGATTATTGGTCGATTCCCCAGAAAGCTAATGGATTCACACATTGCAGACTCAATAGACTTCATGGTAGAAAGAGTAAGTACAGTTCTTTATTTAAATGACAAATTGAATTTCCTTGGTAGGGATACATTTTGGACTTTACATGGTTTTTATGTGCTAGCTTCTTCAGTGACTCCCCAGTGCTTAAGTAGTCTGTTATGACACCCATATTGTGCGTTCCAAGGATTGTTTCACTCTGACTTGGCTTTAGACTTTCCTTCCCAAATGTTGGTTTGCATTTTCCTTTTTAACCAGAGTTATCTTTTTCAGGGCTTGGGATTCCTTTCAAGTTACAGTATCTCATTTTTGGGTTGCCTTTTTTACCTGATAACCATAGCAAGGCCTGGTGATGGAGTTGATATAGTTGACTCTGTTCGTGTGTGTGTGTGTGTACGTGTGTGTGTGTGTGTACGTGTGTGTACTCACCTATTTGTGCTTGTGAGGGTTGAGCTTTGGCTCTTTGGTCCCTCCTCTCAACTGTCAATCAACTGGTGTACAGATTCCTGAGCCTATTGGGCTCTATCGTGTGTGTGTGTGTGTGTGTTTGTTGGGGGGATAATTGGGTACCTGTGGCTGCCTCAGATGCTTTGCCTATGACTTATCCTGTTATTTACCTTGACACTCAGCACCATCTATACAGTATGCAACTAGCCAATAAATATAAATTGAAAACATGTGACCCTTTCCTAAATAATTAATTCTGTAACTTGGTTTTTTAACTGCCAAATAAGCTTAAATTTCTATAATAAAATCATACACACAATGCTTCTATGTGTACTGCAAGTCAACTGAAATGTAAGGTTTCATTAGGGTTATTCTGCATGTGAAATATTACTTGCTTTTATGGTTTCATTATATGCATATACAGTACTGATGTGTAAGCAAGAAACTTATTTCAGTCACCTTAACTTTTGACCATTTTTTTCTTTCAGTTGGACAGTATAAATCAGAGCGAGCTGGCATCAAGACTCACTCTCAACTGTTCTCCGGACTATGTACAACCTCACAAAATACAGGTGAAATAATTACAAAAAATTATTCAGTATGAAGCCCTATTCCCTCTCCCTCTTTTTTTTAAGTAAAATAAAATAAGTTGGTCACAGCACCTTACATATTGATATTAAAAATATTGTCTTCGTGTTTTCTTTTAATCAAGAGTCTTTGTTTTGGTCATGCTCCAAATGTAACATGTTTTCTGAAATCAGTACAGTACTGTGATGCACATTTCTGAACAGTCACACTTGATAAACGTCTTAAGGTAAGTATTCACTGAAATAGACAGTATTCAGGCACAGGCAGGCAGGGAAGCAGTGTAGTCGTCAGTACCACATGATATTTTCGAGCATTTCTACAGGGTCATTAAAGGGGCTGTTGAGACAATGAAGAGAAGCTTGATCCAGCCCAAAATAATCACCAGAGATACAATTATAGACTCAAAGCCCTACTGAGTCTTTGTTTAGCAACCCAAATGACTGCCAATTGAGGATTCACTAACTGCTCATTCACCTGCCTGGTTACATAAGCCACCTACCTCCAGTTGGCATCATTACACATACAATGAGTTCACAATCCCAGACCACCACATTCTCCCTATTTTGTCATTTGTGGGACCATTTCTAATTGGACTTTTTTTCGTACCATGAAAGATTATAGTGCACATTTGCCTTAGCTATATGCAATATATATAAGCAACACCTGTGTGTGCACAGTAGTTAGGTCACAGAGTTTATAAATCTTTATTCACAGTTGTCTGGAACACGTTCTTGTGATGTAGGTACGTGATGCAGTGTACCAGGGTCCATTCAACCATATCCTCACCTTGTGTATGTTGCCAGGTTGTTCTGCACCCCAAAGCCATGCCTTTAATAGTGAAGTAGATAGATTAGTCACTGGATTCTTACACTGTAGCTTATCAGTGCAATTGTCTCTAGTACCACAGAGCTAGCATAACACTTTAGGTCTCTGTAGTTCTTTAACAGGATCAGAATCTATTGCACCAATAGAGGCAAGGAGACCATGGGAGTCAGAGATTGACCCAACATTTAAGAAACTACCCAGAAAATACAGCCAGAGCAAATCAAACCTCAAATGATTAGAAAGAAAAGCGAAAGAACACCAAGCAAACAATAGTTTGTCAATATAAACATTCATAGCATCAATACACTGCACACTATCAAGTGACAACTTAGGTCACGTGAGGGTCCAGTTGACATATATCATCACTTGCATGCTTGGTACTACCTCTGATGTTCATTCTGCCTCTGGCTAGGACTGGTTATGCTCTAGCTTAGGGGTGTTACCATTCCTTGGGAAATTTGTGTCCCATGTCGGGCTGTGGTTATTGTTTGATTCCAAAGTATGCTTCACTTCATGTATGCTCCCCATCTTGTTTTTTCTAACCGACGGGAGACATCTCCCGTCACGCAGGGTGCAGTTGCAACTCCACAGATATCGGTATCATCTATTGATACTGGTAATGGCTCAAGAGGACCACCACTTATGGGCTATTCATGCCCGTGCCACATTTTGGGTGGCTTAATCTTCATCAATCAATCATCATCTTTTCTAACCTCTTAGTTCATTCTAACATTGTTTTAATTTGATGTCTTTGTGCAAGTTTGTGTTTCCCATTTTCTTACCAGAAGTATCTTCTCTGAGGGGGTTTGGGTGTCCTCCTTTCTGAGGATTCTCCTCTCAAGTTACCCTGTGTCCTGGTGGTGCTTGTGACTGAATTATTTAACAAAATATCTGCATTTGTATATTTATACAGTTTTTATTGGTTCATTAAAAACACTTATGAGAGAGACATTTGTATTTACAGGTTGATGTGACAATCCTGGATGTTTTTGATGAATCGGCCTTATCTCAGTCTGTAAAAGAGGAGCTGTATAAATGCTACCCAACAGCTCGCTTAGCCCACCTCAAGTCAGGCGGAAACTTTCCCTTCCTGTCAAGAGCAGAAGAAGTTAATATATACCTTCAAGTGAGAATATATATGAAAATTTTTTCTCTTATTGACCTTTATTTTATCTTCCAGTATTATTTCTATGTATATTGTACTAAATGTATATTCAGTATATACAAGTCTGTTTACAGAGTAACAATAGCAAAAACAGTGTGTTTTATTATTCTAAGAATATAATATGATGTGCATTTTAGTGACATGTACTGATGTGTGTACTTCATACCCGTGTTCTTCTAGCTCTGTGATACAAATAACAATATTGATAGCCCATTGCATCAATGCATTTTAAAAAACCTTGGTACAAACATTAGAAATGCATAGAAAGTATTATATATTCAATTATAATTTCATGCAAAACGTGCAAATCTAGGCTGAACTCTGATGAAATGTTATGAGATTATAACGTTCACCAGAGCTGCTTAGTGGTTTCAAATCACGCCTGAAAATGTATATAGTTATGTATGAATTGTGTATATGGTGTAATACGTAACAGCAAAAGCAGTATGTTTTATTGTTCTAGGCAAATTATATAGTGTGCATCTTAGTGGCATGACTATATTTGAGCAATCCAATGTTCCACACGTTATATACTGGTAAGTTTTTCAAAAGACACGTAATTGATAATATCCCTGAAAACACAAACCGTAACTGTGTCTATTTTCCGCTTGTTACAACTTATAATAAAATTGTTATATCTTGGCTTAACGTGTTTATGACGTATTAGAACGTTGTTACAACTTGCTATATTGATTGATATAACTGGTTAGGTGGTGTTAAAACTTGTTTGAACGTTGTACCAACATTGTAGTTTCGATGTGTATTTGGCGGGATAATACTGTACTGAAAAAAAAATGACATTGGGATAAATATGTCAAAATATCTTCACAGCAACTCCTGTCCCACACCTGGCCTGGGGTGACAACCCAGGCCAAGTGCTCAATGAACGCACATGAATCACGATGTCATTGTAAGATTTTCAGCTTCACCATGACTAAAGTCGCATGCAATTTTTTTCCCATGTAGACATTTAACAATATTAGAAAAACATTTATATTTTTTCTTCTGCACTGTGGATGAAGGGGATGTCAGCTATATAGAGGGGCATAGTGCCGGGGTTAACACTTTCATTGCCCCAGCGGGCAACCCGTCGCACACCTCAAGGTAGCCCGAGCGGTGCATGTGAACTCGCCACCAACCACAAATGTTTATACTCTTTTTAGCTTTCTGACCTCAATGTGCTACGTCGTTCAATTCGGTATTGAATTGTTCGCAATAGAATGCTGTAAAGGAATATTTGCATATAAGAACCTACTGTGCAAGTCTCACTTTTCTATACTTTCGACGAAAACTCTAACTTTTCTCCTCATGCAATACATGTTTCTTTCAATGCTTTCGTCATGGATTGGCTCTGCTTTTGATCAGTATCCATCTGGAAGTCAATTTGCAATGTTTATAAAGTCGGTAATGACAAATACCCGAGATTAAATAACTGGAATGGGGAAACACTTGGAATCGAGGGAAGGCCACGGCTGTCACGACCGAGGTTACAAGAACAGTGAGCCTCCAGTGTGGGTGGGTGCCCACATGGCCGGGTCAGGATGCCACATGGGATATATAGAGAATGGGAAAATGTTGGCACTCATTAAAAAAAAAAAAAAATCCCACAGGATTAGGACAATAAGTGGAAGTTTTACAAGTTTTTAAATTATTGACGCTGTTTGTGTCATGCTGCCCTCTCACTATTTTCGTTTTTCTGGGGGAAGCCCCTACAGCTCCCTGGAGCTTACCAGGCTGATATGCTAATGTCAGACTTTGGCATCAGTCATCTGTACGGAGTTCTTATGGGCCTACTGGGGACCACAAGCCAGAACCTGGCCCCCTCAAAGAGGCAAGGGGAGCAATGGCCTATAGAAACCCCCGTGTGGTTGGAAGCATTCTATTTCTGCCATCGACCGGGTTAGGCACCCAGAAAGGTAGGCGTCCCAAAACAAACCCCTATTCTGGTGGAAATTGCAACCAAAAATCGAACGAGTGGATAGAACTCCCCCAAACAAAAACGAGCAAACTAGTATGACATCACCCATCATCACGCCGCTGTCTGCGCAGCTCCCCCCTGCCCCCCCTCTCGGGCGCAGGGGGGCATTCAACACCTAGAAGACAGACACCACACTCTAGGTACAGTGCTGAAACAACCACTGGAGCCGGAGCACACAACCGGTGCCATTAGCATCAGCCGAAGAGCTGGGGTGTGGATTGCTGGCGTGGTAGGTCTGGGGCTACTCCTTCCCCCTCCCGGGGAGGGGGGAGCTGCGCAGACAGCGGCGCGATGATGGGTGACGTCATACTAGTTTGCTTGTTTTTGTTTGGGGAGTTCTATCCACTCGTTCAGTTTTTTATTGCAATTTTCACCAGAATAAAGATTTGTTTTGGAATGCCTACCTTTCTGGGTGCCTAACCCAGTCGATGGCAGACATAGAATGCTTCCAACCACACGGGGGTTTCTATATGCCATTGCTCCCCCTTGCCTCTTTGAGGGGGCCAGGTTCTGGCTTGTGGTCCCCAGTAGGCCCATAAGAACTCCGTACACATGACTGATGCCAAAGTCTGACATTAGCATATCAGCCTGGTAAGCTCCGGGGAGCCTCCGGGACTCGCCCAGAAAATGGCGTTTCATTACATTCAACACTGGTTTTTTGACAGATATACCTGCATCAGGTACCGAAAGTGTTAAATAGGATTGGTTCCTAATTCAACAACTAATGATGCCTATGAAATGTGGTTTTGATTATCCATAGAGTGCTTAACTGCATTTTTCTGCTGTTATTGACATTGATTCAACATTACTTGAGCATATTTTGCCCACTTAATAGTCGATGTCTAAGCTTGCATGAATGTGAACTATGGGACCTACAAAATGATGACTTTGGTAAGCCTAATTGTAAATGGAGGAAATGTTCTAGATGTACCATGGATGCCCATCCTTGCACTCATTGCTGTCTCCTTCCTGGCTTGGTATCAACACTCATACTTGAAATCGTTCACAAGTGGATGATACCATTTTGACTGAAAGGAATCACCCCATCCAGTAAACTCAATCTAGCTTTTTTTTTTCAGGCACTTTATATTTCCAGAAATATAAAAATTAAAAGTTAGGAAATACAACTTAAGAGTGAGTGATAGATATATAATGTTGCAGCAGGTCTGCGGGGCAGAATAACACAACTTGCCAGCAGAGAAAACAGAGACCCTCAGCTGGATAGTTGGAATTATGAAGGAACTCCTGTTAGAGAGACAGATTACTGGCAGGCATTTTGAGTCCAGTTGAAGTTGGATTGATGTTGTGAGCTGTGTGTGTGGAGTGATTTTGGGCCAGGATAGCCCCATAATATGTTGGTGTACAATGGTGAGGGTGTGCAAATATCTACATCATCATGGTATGGATCCCAGTTTTGTGTTATATAAATTGTGGCAATACTGAATGTGTCTTATCGTTCTACAGTTAAACTTCACCTTGTTTTTACAATCTTTCAAATTGTTAGCTAAATGTCATTCATTTTATGCCTAAGATGTAATTTTGATTTAGATTGTTATACACTTGTTCAGTCCAGTCAGTATTGTAATGATTTGTATAATTTATTATGAATAAAGTTTTTGATTCTGAAAATGACAATGTTTACGTGCTGTGCTGTTATTGTGACACCCTTGTGTAATTAATGTGCTCTACTTTTTATGTAAACTTTACCAGCTATAAATGTGCATCTATTTATGAATAAAATATTTGATTTGTAGTGAAAATGATTATAGTGATAGGGGGATATGGGGGGTGTATGTGTGGGAGGAGATGGGTAGGTTATTTGTGGGGAGAGATGGGGAGGGTCTATTCAGAAGGAGATGGGGAGTGTAATTACCCAGGTGTAGTTACAGGATGAGAGCTATGCTCATGGTGTCCCATATTCCCAGTACTCTGTCATATAACGCTTTGAAATTACTGATGGTTTTGGCGTCCACCACCTTTTCACCTAACTTGTTCCAACCGTCTACCACTCTGTTTGCACGAGTGTGAGAGAGTGAGCAGATGCCTGGGAGTGTGTGTGTGGTGGGAGACATGGAGGGGTGTGTGGGGGTTAATTGATTATACAGGATATAGGAAAAAAGTGATGTTTGTGTCTTAACATAAAATATAGGACTGTTTATAAAGCATGAAAAGGAGCTAGTTGAAAGTAGCATGTTAGAATTTCCAGTAAAAGCCTTAACCACAATGTTTTAGTTTTACCAAATAGTAATTAGTATGTATTTTTAGGTCCACCTTCGAGTTTACGAGGGTAGCCATCTGAGTGCCTGCGATTCTGGCACTCCTGTTGACCGATAGCACTGCCCACATATCACATTGGTAAGGTAAATTTGCATTCCAAGTAGCATTGGATTAAATTTATTAAGTCATTTTCTAAAAATTTTGTCAAATTATAATCAGTGAACTCATCCTTTTCTGAGGGAAGCCCCTCCTGCTCCCTGGAGCTATCAGCTATCAGGCTGATATGTGTTATATTATTCTGGGGCATCAGTTAATTGGAGTTCAGCCTACCAGGGACCACGAGCCACAACCAGACCCTCCCCCTCCCCCTGACTCAGAGAGGCAAAGGGAGCAATGGCCTTTGGAAATCGCCATGTATTTGGGGGCATTCCATGTTTTCCATTAACTGGGGTTAGCACCCAGAAAGGTAGGCATAACAAAACAGACCCCACATGGTGGCCTGCAGTCTATCCTCATGCAAATGACATTCGTAAGTTTGCTGCTTTGGCTACCGTCTTCAGCAACATGTCTTGGGCTGACATTCGGGCGCAGGGATTTTGGAGGTCGAACAGGGTCCTGGCCGCTCGTTATCTAGTAAACTTTCCTGGTCCTAATCGTTCATATGTGGCTTTGGGTCGCAGGTTGCAGCCAGTTGTCTCAACTTGGTGGCCGCCTCCCGGGTAAGTCCCTCTTTTACTTGTCTTTGGTTAGGTAGCTCCAGGAAGCCGGAGGAGCTCCCCTCAGAAAACCAGTATTGAATGTGATGAAAGACCATTTTCTCGATGTTGAGTCCCGGAGGCTCTCTGGCACCCTTTTTCTCTCCAGTCGGCAGTGTTTTCTCGTGGGCTTTGATGCTCGGCCTCCAAACTGGAATTGTTGAGTAGCTGTCACAGGGGGGGTTTGGGGCTCCCCCCTCCCCCTCCCAGGGAGGGGAGAGCTGCGTGGACAAGCTGCGTGGTGGTGGAGTGTGACGTTTGCTTCTTTCTTTAAGTTGGGGGAGTTCTGCGTCTCTGTTCAGTCTTCGGCTGCAATTCTCTTACCAGGTAGGGTCTGTTTCGTTATGCCTACCTTTATAGGTGCTAACCCCGGTTGACGGCAGACATGGAATGCCCCCAAATACAAGGTTTCCATAGGCCATTGCTCCCTTTCTCTCTCTGAGGGGGCCCAGGTTCTGACTCGTGGTCCTGGTAGGCTGAAGTTCAATTGGCTGATGCCCCAGACTAATGTAACATATATCAGCCTAATAGCTGATAGCTCCAGGGAGCCATCGGGGCTCACCCAGAAAATGGCGTTTCATTACATTCAACATTGGTGTTTTGATTGTCAATTTTTTATAGCATAATTTTTTAAACAATTATGAAGTTACATTACAGTATTGTATTATTATTCTTGCTCCCCCCATTCATTTTACAATACAGTTGACTTAAATTGTGTGCACTTGTATTACATAACATGCACTCATGGTATGTTCACCCATCCACTCCAGCAGAGACAACCATGATTTGGCTCCCTCCTCACATACACACCCATTCTCTCTCCCACAACCTCGCTTTATCCTATACTCTTTACCGAACTCTCTCCCTCATTCCTCCACTCAATATCTTCCCCACTCACTTCCTATACTCTGCTTTACTCTCACTCTTACCTCCACTCACTGCCTCATCTACTTTAATTGCAAATTTCTGCTGCAAGCCACAGCCTGACTGATCAAGTTATCACCAAACAAGGCCAGGCTGGGTTTGTGGAGGAGAACTCATGAACCGACTACAGGTAAACTATAGCATACTCGCCGACCTTCACACACTTGCTGCTCTCTCAGTTTTTCACTTTTACTCTAAGCTTGTCCTCCACCTGTACTCTTTACAAACTGTGCTCACACCTTGCAACATGTGCTCATTTCACACAATGTCCTCCAATCATGCACCCAGACCACTCCTATGTTCCTACCTACACACCCTCTTAAACCACCAACCAAATTCTCACCCACATTCCTACCATGTGCTTACACCTTTATGAAGTCCGAAGGGTAACAGAAGAAAATACAAAGGTTTGCAACCGGACTAGTAGCAGAAGTGAGAGGGATTAGCACTGGGATGACAGGCTAAGGGAACTCGATTTCTACTTGTGTTCACAACGTCAAGAAAAAAAATTGACACAGAACTGAAATGGCAAGAGATGTAATAGGTGTGCCGATTATGAAAGACGAGGAGGTGGGGCATGAAGAACTAATTCTTGCTGCTCGGTAGTCACTGATAGGTAAGCACCAACCATATTCCCATGTCACCCATACCCTCTGTTCTGTCCACCCACCGTACTCTCCACCCACCGTACTCCCCACCCACCATACTTCCCACCCACCATACTTCCAACTCAAAATGCTTCCATATCCACATTACTCACCCAACCACACCACCAGCTCACCAATAGTTATACCCACAACACCACTTATCCACCAACATTTCCACTCACCACACCACCTGCCCACTGGTGTCTCCGCCCACCACACCACCTGCCCACTGGTGTCTCCGCCCACCACACCACCTGCCCACTGGTGTCTCCGCCCACCACACCACCTGCCCACTGGTGTCTCCGCCCACCACACCACCTGCCCACTGGTGTCTCCGCCCACCACACCACCTGCCCACTGGTGTCTCCGCCCACCACACCACCTGCCCACTGGTGTCTCCGCCCACTACACCACCTGCCCACTGGTGTCTCCGCCCACCACACCACCTGCCCACCAGTGTCTCCGCCCACCACACCACCTGCCCACTGGTGTCTCCACCCACTACACCACCTGCCCACCAGTGCCTCCACCCACACCACCTGCCCACTGGTGTCTCCGCCCACCACACCACCTGCCCACTGGTGTCTCCACCCACTACACCACCTGCCCACCAGTGCCTCCACCCACCACACCACCTGCCCACTGGTGTCTCCGCCCACCACACCACCTGCCCACTGGTGTCTCCACCCACTACACCACCTGCCCACTGGTGTCTCCACCCATTGTAGGATAGCTTTTATTTATAAGAAATTTCATAATTTTTTTTATATTGTATTAATATTTTGGAGACATAGCTCACAAGACAAGAGGTGTAAATATTGTATTTGATATGTTCTCTCTTTCTCAGGTTTACACAAAAGGAAGTATTGCACACACCAGATGAAGAATGGCAAAGAACTGTGAATTACTGTACAGTATTTGCTCACGTGCAGCATTGTCTCAGTTGCTGAGACAATACTAGCTGTTGCAATACTAGGTTTGTCAAGATTGCAAGTCATGAAGTTAAGAAATGTAGTTTTACTGATTACAATGGCTGTAATGCAAAGAAACTCGGTGATATGTTTATTCTTTGAATTGATGCAACTTTTTAGATTGGTTTATTAGAAACAGGATTTATGTATGAATGAAAATTTGTATATTTATATAAATTATAAAAAAAAAAAAGTGTGACTTATACATGTACTGTCTTTCTTGTTTGTATCATCTGATGTATTTTTATATTTTTTCTCTTCAGTAATTTTCTATTTTGTATTTTGGTGCACTGCACTTTCCATTTTTTTATTATGCTGCAAAGAATGTCTGAAATAAATCAAATTGCTCTATACTCAAAGTAATCTCTACCCACATATTTCTCTGTTGCTCTTCTTCCTAAGATGTCAAGTTGATTTACAAATTATAAAAGATGATCATAAACATTACAGTATAAATTACTCTGAAAAATATACAATATTGTTGGTTTTGTAACGTAGCTTTTGGACTACATACAAATCGAGACTAGGCTGAGCTTAGGTAGTCTCAACTTTGTACACAATGTCTAAGCTCTTTAGTATAACCAGAGGGGTAAAAAATACATGGCAACAATACGTATTCTGTATTAATTACAGTGGTGACAAGTAATTTGTGACAAAGTCATAGCAGAGTGGAACACTGGAGGCTGTGTCAAGAGAAGACAATCCAGGGTGGTTGGTGGTACTGCCAGCGTCGATGCTTGAGGAGAAGAGAGGATTTCCTGATAATGGTCTAAAGCTGAGTAAATTTTGCTCCCTAGTTGGTGGCCTATTAAATATCAGTATAGCAATATGTCATTAAATATATCATTATTCAGTCACCTGCACATATTTACTTCTAATTTTGTTATGAAATTAGATTATATGAGTAAAAATAGGTTTGAGTATGTTCTGCATTCAGCACCAACATAATAGTGAATAAATATACCATATATCTTCATTACTTATGTAATGCTGGCAGACTTTGGGTAATTCTACAGACCACCTCGAGAGGATTAAGGCAAACTACTGCATACAGGATACTATATACAGTATGCCTTTTCTAAGGTATATAAAGATAAAGTATGACTCATTATTGTACTGTTTAGTAGTACTGTAAATAACAATGAAATATTCTTAATTTATGTTACTACAAAACCCATTACATAAATGCCTCCTGAAGGCATCTCAGGTTGCAACGAATTGGCCTCTTTTATACTGATCTGCTGGTAATAACGACCGGTTTGGGAGATCGGTATCTGGAGCCTCATATACCGGTCTGACGGTCGATATTACAGACGGTCGGTATTGGGTTTGTGTTGGCATCGGCGACATGGCGACCAGGGGCCAGATTCACGAAGGTACTTACGAATGTTTTCCTTCTTAGCGCCTTCGTGGCAGCTACGTCGGTATTCATGTAGCTACACTAAGTCGAAAAACCTTCGTAAGTTTGGTCCGGCATCTAAGTGTGCTGTCGGGCACTCGTAGCTTTACGTAAACTGGATATAACTCAATTTTTCTCTACTACATAACACTGGGATCAATTTTAATATAACAAAAGATTATTAGTTGGCGAATCTCATGAAGAGGAGTCCTTCGTGTTAGTTATATATGTATTCTCTGCTTGAAACTTGAAGTAAATGTCTTTTATGATAGTAGAATTAGTTTTATAATAGCAAGATATTATACCAGTAGTTATTAAGTAAATAAACACTGGTGAACATGAAATATGAGAGAAGGTAATGAGCCCTGCCTGATGGGAGCATTTACTATCACCAAATGCCCCTGTTCACCTAGTAATCAGTGAGGGTGTACCTTAGCTATACATACACAGTTCAGATTTATTTTGGTTTTATTTTGAAATTAAATCTGGGTGAGACATAAAAGAAAAATATCCTGCACAAATGATCGCCGGGACCAATCGCCGTTTTCAGTAATTGGCATATTTTCGGTATAAATTCGTAATTTTAAAATGAAAATAGGTGCAGAGAGTCAGAATTCGGCTCAAAAATTATGCACAGGAGTCAAATTTTGGACATTTCAGATTTTTTGAAAACTACAAGGGGGTTTGGGCAAAATATGACTCATTACGGTTTTCAATATTTGGCATATTTTTGGTACAAAAGGTCGTAATTTGAAAATGAAAATAGGTGTAGTCAATATTCGGCTCAAAAATAATGCTCAGGAGTTAAATTTCTGACATTTCAGATATTTTGAAAATTGCACGGGGGTTAGGGCAAAATATGACCCATCGTCGTTTTCAGTAATTGGAATATTTTCGGTATAAAAAGTCGTAATTTATAATGAAAAGTAGGTGCAGAGAGTCAGAATATATTTTTAAAACTGCAGGGGGGTTTGGGCTAAATAAGACCCATCGCAGTTTTCAGTAATTAACATATTTTCGGTATGAAAAGTAGTAATTGGAAAGTGAAAATAGGTGCAGAGTCAGAATTCGGCTCAAAAATCACGCTCAGGAGTCAAATTTCCGACATTTCAGATATTTTGAAAACTGCAGGGGGTTTGGGCAAAATATGACCCATCGCCGTTTTCAGTAATTGGCATATTTTTGGTATAAAAAGTCGTAATTTGAAAATGAAAATAGGTGCAGAGAGTCAGAATTCGGCTCAAAAATCCCCTCAGGAGTCAAATTTCGGACATTTCAGATATTTTGAAAACTGCAGGGGGGTTTGGGCAAAATATGACCCATCGCCGTTTTCAGTAATTGGCATATTTCCGGTATAAAAAGTCGTAATTTGAAAATGAAAATAGGTGCAGAGAGTCGGATTTCGGCTCCAAAATCACGCTCAGGAATCAAATTTCCGACATTTCAGATATTTTGAAAACTGCACGGGGGTTAGGGCAAAATATGACCCATCGTCGTTTTCAGTAATTGGAATATTTTCGGTATAAAAAGTCGTAATTTATAAATGAAAATAGGTGTAGATAGTCAATATTCGGCTCAAAAATAACGCTCAGGAGTTAAATTTCCGACATTTCAGATATTTTGAAAACTGCAGGGGGGTTTGGGCAAAATGTAACCAATCGGGGTTTTCAGTTATTGGCATATTTTTGGTATAAAAAGTCATAATTTGAAAATGAAAGTAGGTGCAGAGAGTCAGAATTCGACTCAAAAATCCCACTCAGGAGTCAAATTTTCGACATTTCAGATATTTTGAAAACTGCAGGGGGGGTTTGGGCAAAATATGACCCATCGCCGTTTTTAGTAATTGGCATATTTTTTATATAAAAAGTCGTAATTTCAAAATGAAAATAGGTGCAGAGAGTCAGAATTCGGATCAAAAATCACGATAAGGCGTCAAATTTTCGACATTTCAGATATTTTGAAAATTGCAGGGGGTTTTGGGCAAAATGTGACCCATCGCGGTTTTCAGTAACTGGCATTTTTTCGGTAAAAAAAGTCGTATTTTGAAAATGAAAATAGGTGCAAAGAATCAGAATTCGCCTCGAAAATCACGCTCAGGAGTCAAATTTCCGACATTTCAGATATTTTGAAAACTGCAGGGGGGTTTGGGCAAAATATGACCCATCGCAATTTTCAGTAATTGGCATATTTTCGGTAACAAAACTCGTAATTTGAAAATGAAAGTAGGTGTAGAGAGTCAGAATTCGGCTCAAAAATCACGCTCAGGAATCAAATTTTCGACATTTCAGATATTTTGAAAACTGCTGGAGGGTTTGGGCAAAATATGACCCATCGCCGTTTTCAGTAATTGGCATATTTTCGGTATAAAATGTCGTAATTTGAAATAGAAAATCGGTGCAGAGAGTCAGAATTCGGATCAAAAATCACGCTCAGGAGTCAAATTTCGGACATTTCAGATATTTTGAAAACTGCAAGGGGGTTTGGGCAAAATATGACCCATCGCCGTTTTCAGTAATTGACATATTTTCGGTATAAAAAAACGTAATTTGAAAATGAAAATAGGTGCAGAGAGTCAGAATTCGACTCAAAAAGCACGCTCCGAAGTCAAATTTTCGACATTTCAGATATTTTGAAAACTGCAGGGGGGTTTGGGCAAAATATGACCAATCGCCGTTTTCAGTAATTGGCATATTTTCGGTATAAAAAAACGTAATTTTAAAATGAAAATAGGTGCAGAGAGTCAGACTTCGGCTCAAAAATCACTCTCAGGAGTCCAATTTCCGCCATTTCAGATATTTTGGAAACTGCAGTGGGGTTTGGGCAAAATATGACCTATCGCCGTTTTCAGTAATTGGCATATTTCCGGTATAAAACGTCGTAATTTGAAAATGAAAATAGGTGCAGAGAGTCAGAATTCGGCTCAAAAATTACGCTCAGGAGTCAAATTTCGGACATTTCAGATATTTTGAAAACTACTGGGGGGTTTGGGCAAAATGTGACCCATCGCGGTTTTCAGTATTTTGCATATTTTTGGTATAAAAATTCGTAATTTGAAAATAAAAATAGGTGCAGAGTCAGAATTCGACTCAAAAAGCACGCTCCGGAGTCAAATTTCCGACATTTCAGATATTTTGAAAACTGCAGGGGGGTTTGGGCAAAATATGACCCATCGCCGTTTTCAGTAATTGGCATATTTCCGGTATAAAAAGTCGCAATTTGAAAATGAAAATAGGTACAGAGAGTCAGAATTCGGCTCAAAAATTACGCTCAGGAGTCAAATTTCGGACATATCAGATATTTTGAAAACTACTGGGGGGTTTGGGCAAAGTGTGACCCATCGCGGTTTTCAGTATTTTGCATATTTTTGGTATAAAAATTCGTAATTTGAAAATAAAAATAGGTGCAGAGAGTCAGAATTTGGCTCAAAAAGCACGCTCTGGAGTCAAATTTCCGACATTTCAGATATTTTGAAAACAGCAGGGGGGTTTGGGCAAAATATGACCAATCGCCGTTTTTAGTAATTGGCATATTTTCGGAATAAAAAGTCGTAATTTGAAAATGAAAATAGGTGCAGAGAGTCAGAATTTGGTTAAAAAACCACATTCAGGAGTCAAATTTTCGCCTTTTTCAGATATTTTGAAAACTGCAGGGGGGTTTGGGCAAAATGTGACCCATCGCCGTCACCGAAAACTTCGGAACTCACTCCCTGGTGATTCAAAAAATTGTCCAACCTGTGCCCTGTTCAAAAGGTAAATCAAAAAGTACCTAATTTCATCCTCATTGTTTAATCCAACCTTGTGCTTCAAACTCACACTGTATTGTACTACCCTCTTCCCCAATATCAGTACTTAAGACATATATCATCACCAGTGTAATCAGCGTCAGTTCAACTTGTAGTTATATGCTGATATAAAACCTTGCTACAATGTATCTTTTCATCTTACCTGATATGCTAGATTAAGGACCTGCCCGAAACGCTAAGCGTGTATTCACCTAGTTGTACTCCCCTAGTTGTGTTTGCGGGGGGTTGAGCTTTGCTCCTTCGGCCCGCCTCTCAACTATCAATCAACTGTTTACTAACTACTTTACTAACGCTAAGCGTGTTAGTGGCTTTGCATGCATGTAAAAATACCAATCTTATGTAATCTCACCAACCCATTATACCTTCTTGCAAATAAATTATTATTATAAATATTATATCTCGCCCACCAAAGAAAACGTTAAGGGAGGCTTGGTGGCTATTGCGACCAACACACTCCGGCCACAGACGAGCCGTGCTGGCGTCAGGGAAAATAGACCCTTCATGCAATCTTCACGAACCATCAAACAGAGGAAGAAGAAGACCAACGAGACGGTGTAAACTGTCTCTCAAGGCAGCGTGTTGAATATTCCACCTAACCAGTTGTGTATTGAGCAGCAACAAGTTGAAATCTTCACGCGAAGCTGAGGAATATACATTTCTCTATTGTGCGAGATGTCGACCAGATTGTAAGTGAGGTTTAAATTTATTCTATATATAGACACAAAACAGATAAAATGAGCCATAGTATAAGTTGCCTGTTTAGAATTAGCAGTTTTATTTATTTATATACAAGAAGGTACTGTACATTGACTTTCATACCTGCTTGATGGGGTTCTGGGAGTTGTTCTATTTCCCAAGCCAAGTTGTTCTACTCCAGGCTTGACTTGTGAGAGTTTGGTCCACCAGGCTGTTGCTTGGAGCGGCCCGCAGGCCCACATACCCACCACAGCCCGGTTGGTCCGGCACTCCTTGGAGAAAACTATCTAGTTTTCTCTTGAAGATGTCCACGGTTGTTCCGGCAATATTTCTTATACTCGCAGGGAGGATGTTGAACAACTGTGGACCTCCGATGTTTATACAATGTTGTGAGGGTACATAACATTGGTGTTCTTACATTCTTGCAAAGCCACTAACATGCATAGCATTTTGGGCAGTTACTTTTGTGTATTTGTAATGCACTTAATATACAGTCTGTGGGTGGTGGTGGGAAGGTTCTAAAAGGGGGTTCAAAGTCTATTGCTATGTCATTGCAAACCTAACTTATTCTAACCAATATGAATATATCATGTGCAACCTATCCTAGCCTACCTTACCTGTCCCTTACCTATCCTAACCTAACCTAACCTAATGAAAATAACAAACTTTAGCTTTTTAAAGACAATGAGTTATAATGACATCGCTGAAGAGTTGATATCCAGCCCACAACTGAAAATGAAGAAATGATGTTGAGATTTTTATGTGTACTCTGTGAGAAATGTGATGTCACTCTGACATTGTTATTGCAACTGACTCATGACTGACCTTCCTCTGGATGCAACCAATGGTTGCTTATATCCCAGATACCAATTTGCTGCTAGGTAAATAGGTACTTAGAAACACCCCAAAATTTTGACATGTTCAGGATATGAAACCAGGTACTGTACCACTTGGTTGTGCTGATTGCACCGACGCAATATACATCATACATAATGGGCTTAAGTTTGTGTGTTTACCTTAATAGTAATACTGTAATAATAATTTTATTTTTATAAAATACATATGAAATATGACATTGTCTATTCTTAGATACACAATTAGTGTTGTTTATGTAAAGCCAAAGCCACTAGTACACAGAACATTTCAGGCATACTCTGCTGTATAACTTTGACACGGGGGGGGGGGGGGGGGACATCTTTCTTATATTAACCTGGGGATCACTGAAGAATGTCAATATTTTTGCTTATTTGGTCTTGATGCTATAGTAAGGCATTCTTCCTCAACAGCATGGATTAATACTATGCCTGGCACACATGTCACCTTGGGGGTCACAGGGAAGAAGTTATATTGTTTATATTTTCTGGTTAGATCTTGGTAAAGAGAAGTGGTCAGTATCAGAAAAAAAGATAGGCATCTGGCTTTTGCTCTGATGGAGGGCACTAGAAGGTATTGCTGTGTATTTACCTTTCCTATCTTGAACACCACTGTTAGGCAAGGGAAGGTGGGGGAGCTTCACAGTTTTGAGATTAGGCCATAAATTTGGGTTAACTACTTGGAGTTCAAGGGATGCCTGATGTTTATATCATAAGGGAACAGGTGGTGTCTATACAGTGGATAGTCTTCTTCAGTAGTTTATTCCCTTAGTGGGGGGGGGGATGAGGTGAAGTGCTTGCCTCAGAGGTAACCAGGGGTCATAAAGCATCTGCCAAACAGTGTTAACTTGCTACAAATCTTGGTGTTTTACTCTTAACAAGAGATTGTTGGGCCACATACAGCCCGTGTCCTATCATGGCCCCCAAAACCACCACCACTAGTACTTCATTTATGATGTGACTTGTATTTAAATGGGGTTACAATTAATTCATTTGTAGGTATTTTGCATGTAGCAAAATACCTGTAGATTTATTACTATGTGATCCTGTCATTTGGTGGAGTTATGCTTGCCCTTGAACAATGGTTTACTTCAGTTGACTTATTTTGGTTCAATCGGGAGGACTCTGGCTTGTGCCAGCCACATTTAACTTTTCACTGTAGATATTTAACAAAATTGGATTTTGTCCTAAATCCCTATAGTTATCATGCTCTGATATTTGTCTGGCTAGTAAGTCTTTATAAAATTATAAATTATTATATTATACTGTACATTATTAAATTACTGTATTTAAGAATTAAATTAAGAGATTTTTAGGGATGTGGTAAATTGCCCCAAAACTATTTATTCAAAATATTGTAAGAGGATTGTTTTGGGTATTTTATTACACTTTTATTAGAACAAAATGCTAGTCCCATATTTATCTTTAATCATATTAGCACTCTTTAATAGCAAAAGTCTTGAAATGAAAAAATGCACACAGTTGATTACCAAATGTGTAAATTTACTCCAATATGCTTCATGATATAATTTAATTCATTGTTTTGGTGGACAGGAAGCCAGAGTGTATTCATACATGTTAGGTTTATGTCGAGGTTCCATGTTCCAACTTTTTTCTCACAAAGGTCATGAACAATTTCTTTAGTATTTCACTATCTGTTTAAAAGTAATTCTGAAATTGGAAAGTGTAGCATAGGTTCCTTTTCACAATGTTCTTTGTGGTCCTTATGTGACAGTTTTCCACCTAGAATCACCTCTAGATCTCTTTCTTGATCAGAATTCATTAAAACATTTTCACATCATTTGTAGGTTGTGTGTGATCTATTTTCTCCTATTCCATATTCCATAATCTGGCATTTATTCACATTAAATTCCATTTGCCAAGTGTTGCTCCATACACTTATTTTATCCTTTTATCCGGATCTTACAGGGATGACAGTTGTGTAAGTTTCTTATATTCCCTAGTAGCTTGGCATCATCAGCAAATATATTCTGATAATTCTGTATTCCTTCAGGTAAGCCGTTTATTACAGTGAACATTACCGGTGCAAAAACTGAACCCTGTGGTACTATACTCGTAACATTTCTCCAGTCCAATACATTGCCTGTGATTTCCGCCCTCATTTTTCTGTCGGTTAGAAACTTTTTCAACCTTGTTAGAAGCCTCCCTGTCACACTTTCGGTATATTTCAGTTTCCAGAACAACCTCTTATGTGGGACTCTATCAAAGGTCATTTTTAGATAAATGCAGTCAGCCCAGCCATCTCTTTGGCTCAATCACAGAAACTAAGCAGATTTGTTACACAGGATCTTCCAGATCAAAAACCATACTGTCTGTCCATTATTATATAATTTTTCTCCAGGTGTTCTACCCATTTTGTTCTAATTATTTTTTCCAACGTTTTTGACAATTATGCTTGTTGATGATTCAGGTCTATAATTAACCCCGACAAAGTGAATTCAAGTGTATATGTTGGAAAAGGGTAAATTTTTATGTTATAGTACAGTATTAGGCTCAAATAAGTGTTCATTCTGCCAAGATTGTGAGATTCTTCTTGGATAATTTGGACATGCAGTACTCTGGTATTAGTGAGGAGAACTCGATTTTTTATCTTTCTGATAAAAAAAGGATAATTTGTAAAATGGCGAGCCAGATAATGTGGGTACCATTAATTAGGTGTGGATATGGGGGTTTTGGTAAGTACGTTGTGTTCTGGACTGCATTGAATGAAATTTGCTGCATTTGCCAGATTCAGACTTTGTTTTAATGGCCACATATTTATTGAAATGTTACACGAGATGAAAACTTTTGCTTGGACTTCTGAACGCTGGTAGAAAATTGGTCTCATGGGCTAAATCATGGTTTTCTTCAATACTGTACTGTACTGGTATTTTGTGGTAAAAGACATGGCAGATCTTAACTCTGGAGGCATCAGTCTGATTTATGGAGCTGTTTATTTAAAACCTTGTATAATTTTCTAATATTACATTTTACTGTATATAATATATCTGATTAGATTTTCTTTCATTTTAGTAATTACATGTTAATTGTAAATAATCAAACTTTTGATTCGATAAACTTTTAATGCAAAATTAATATTAATATTTTACAAATTAATTACAGGTACCCAATCTACCAGCATGGGAATCCACAACTGCGAATATTTCTTCCAAATTTCTTTATGAAACTTATAAAGCCACCTTACAAACAACCCCCTAATGTCGTCAACTTCATTGTGTCCACGCAGATGACCAAGTTTGATATTCAAAATTATCTGGAAAAAATTTACAATGTTCGTGTGGAAAATATAGTTACACATGTGAAAATGGGTGAGTAATTTAATTGAGTTATGTCAATTGAAAGTAATAAAATATCAAAGGTTTTGTGCATTTCAGAAGCAGCAGGTACTGAGTGAAAGATAAGATTGCCGATATCCCCCAGACGTAGAACCAGAAAAATTAAATAAAACCTGCAGCACTGGATAGAACAAAACTAGAAAAGTGCCAGGAATCTATCAAATAGTCCAAACACAATTTAGAAAAAATCATATATATATAAACTTATAATAAATATTATAACATAGAAATTTCCTTCATTCAGTTTATGGTTCTTATGAAAATCTTGAAAGTTACTTTTTGATAGTCAAATTTAAGGGGATCTTGGTTGGTTTAATTTCTTCTTTTGTGTTCAGGCCGATGTATAGTCATTAAGAGCAGGATGACACTGGGGTAGACGCTTAGCAAAGGTGCATTATGGGTAAAAAGGTGTCGGGAGACCAGTCCCAAAATAGACTCCTGTTTTCGGATACCAAAACAAAGTTCATACAATACCTTTAAATCGGTTGAAAATGCCACTGACGCATTCCAAACTCACATGATACTGTGCACATTCATATCAGAGTATATCATTCATATAAAGTTAGCACCCCAAGGGGTTAACAGGCAGTCATGCCTGAGAAATGAGTAATTAAATCTGGCCTTATGATTTGAGTCTTGCTACGCTCATGAGAAGAAACTAAATTAGTTGCAAAATAATATGAAATACCACTATAAGAGTACTAACACATTTTGCTACCATATCTTGTAATATCAGATTTTATTGCTTGGCTGTTTTCGTAAAAGAAAACTTCAAATATTGGGACACTAACACATACATGTGCTGGAAAAAATAAAGCTGTATTTAAAATTCTGAACACTAAAACATTATTAGGCAACACTTTTTATAGTTATAATATATTAGTATCCTATATACAATATTATTTTTTTAATTATGTAAATTACCGTAAAAAGTGGTATGAATAATATAGTAGTGAGGAAACAAAAATTTACTATATAGGAATTTCATGTTAGAATTGATGGAACATATCTGAGGAATTAGGCGTTCAGGACTGGTTTGATTCTCATATCTGAAGTATTGAAAATTTGTTTGAAGGTAATAAGTATAAATGACATGAGCAATTGCCTTGATATTTACTTGTATAGTGACTCCAGCTGGATGCAATGAAAGAGAAATTTAACTTTTTTAAATCCCAAATAAACAGTGTCTTTCTCACTTGGGGTGGACAGTAGAGCAATGGTCCTGCTTAATGCAGGTTGACGTTCAATCCCCAACCATCCAAATGGTTGCACACCATTCCTTCCCCCGTCCCATCCCAAATCCTTATCCTGACCCCTTCCAAGTCCTGTATATTCATAATGACTTGGCACTTTTTCCTAATAGTTCCCGTCTCTTTCTGTTTTGTATTAATAAGCCTTACAATTTTGCTGTTCATACATTGTTTTATTTATTATGCAGTAACAATCTTGGTCCCATAATGCATCTTTCATTTTGTACATTATCCTTTAGAATGTACTAAACAGTGTAGTTTAATATGAGGTATCTGGCCAAACAGTGTACTGTACTGTATGTTGTATTACGTTTAGGTGTTTTAACTATTGAGGTTTTTAGCATTGCACCAGTACTGTATTTATTGGTATAAGGGTTAACAATGTTACTAATGCCTCCAAAGCCCATGTTTTTTTTACAGATGGTACATCTTACAGCCAGAGATATCAATGTGATGGACACCTTTCCAATTGAATCTATAATCTTGGTTAATAAATTATGCATAATTTTCTTATTGATGTCTAGTTATTAATTAATTTGTTTATTTTCAGGTAAATTTGAAAGATGCCATAAGGGTTATATTGTCAAGAAGGATGACTATAAAGTTGCTTATGTCACACTGGTAAGTAATTAATTTATTAAAATTTAATAATCAATTATTAGAAGAATTTGGGAGAAAAGACTGTACAAGATATGATGGACTATGTCACCCAGAAGTGCCAGGAAGCTGCAGACAGGTTTAGTCCATCTCTGAAGGATAAAAATGAAAAGCAACAGAAGAATCCATGGGTTCAATCAGGCATGCAAAGCCAGGACTGAGTACCTCAGAGTAAGGAGAGAAGCAGACAGTATGAAAATGACATTGCAAGTAAAGCCAAGACCCAACCAAAAGTGCTCCCCAGCCATATCAGGAGGAAAACAGCAGTGAAGGAACAGGTGATGAAACTGAGAAAAGGGAAGGACAGATACATAGAGAACAAGAAGTTGGTGTGTGAAGAACTCGACAAGAGATTAAAGGTCTTAACAATAAAGGAGAAATCCCTGTACTGAGAGAGGTGGTGGTAAACCAAGCAACCTTGGACTGGTTGCACTGGTTGAGCTTACCAGTGATAAGGTCAAAAGGAATCTTTAGGAGCTGAATATAACAAAGGCTGTTGGGCCTGACAAAATCTCATTATGGATATTAAATGAGGGTGCAGAAGCACTAAGTGTACCACACTCATATGGTGTATAACAGGTCACTGGAAACAGGAGACCTGGGAAAACTGGAAGACAGCTAATGTAGTCCCAATATACAAAAAGGGTGACAGGCAAGAGACACTGAACTACAGGCCAGTTTTCCTAACTTGCATACCATGCAAGTTGACAGAGAAGATCGTGCGGAAAAACCTTGTAGAACTTATGAAGAGATGGAGCTTTGTAACACACCACCAACATGGGTTTAGGGATGGTAATTGTGCCTCACAGGTTTAATAGAATTTGACTGGCAACAAAAATTAGGCAAGAAAGAGGTGGGTGGCAGACTGCATTTTCTTAGACTATCAGGAAGCCTTTGACACAGTGCCCCATAAGAGGCTGTTACAAAAGTTGGAGAAACAGATAGGAATAAAAGGTAAGATGCTCCAGTGGATAAGAAAGTGTCTTAAGCAACAGAAAATAGTGAGTAACTGTGAGGGGGAAGACCTCAGAATGGCAAGATATCACTAGCAGAGTCCCAATGGGCTCTGTACTTGGATCCATCCTGTTTCTGATTTATTGAAATGATTTTTCAGAGGGTATAGACTCATTCCTCTCATTATGAGAAGAATCAAGACAGATGAACACAGAGACTACAGGACAACCTAGACAAACTGGAAGAATGGTCTAGAAAATGGCTTCTAAGGTTTTACTTGGATAAGTGTAAAGTAATGGAATTAGGTGAAGGGAGCAGGAGGAGGAACACAAGATACTATCTGGGAGGTGAAATCCTGTAAGAGCCAAGCAGAGAAAAAGATCTGGGGTTTGATATCACACCGAAGCCGTCAGGAAAAGGATATCAACGGCATATGCTAGATTGGCCAACATAAGAACTGCCTTTAGAAACTTGTGTAAAGATTCATTCAGAACCTTGTATACTACATGTGTCAGACAAATCTTGGTGTATACAGCACCAGCCTGGAATCCATACTTAGTTAAACACAAGACAGAGAAGATTCAGAGGTATGTCACCAGACTTGTCCCAGAACTGAGAGGCATGAGTTATAATGAAAGGCTATGGGAACTAAACCTAACATCCCTGTAAGACAGAAGAGTTAGGGAAAACATGATCATCACCTACAAAATTGTCAGAGGAATTGACAGGGTTGACTAAGACAAACTATTTAGCATGTGTGGAACATGAACAAGGGGACACAGGTGGAAAGTGAGTACTCGTATGAGCCACAAGAGACATTAAAAATAATTTTTTCAGTGTCAGAGTACTTAACAAATGGAATGCATTAGGCAGTGATGGGGTGGAGGCTGACTCCATACACAGTTTCAAATGTAGATATGATAGAGTCCAATAGGCTCCAGAATCTGTACACCAGTAATTGACAGTGGAGAACCGGGACCAAAAAGCTGAAGCTCAACCCCTGCAAGCACAATTAGGCGAGTACAATATTCTGGAATGGTGAGACTTAAAGAAATAAACAGAGTTCGTGCATTACATTTATTAAAGGACACAGGAAATGGGACATGATACAACAGTAAATAACTTTTCACTTGCCAGATGGATGATTGTACTCAAGTCCACTGATATAACTGAAGTAATAACCTCATACAGTGAGGTGGGCACCTCATTAGCACTTCTGTGGGTGAAGTCTTGCCCCTTTATCGTCGTGGGTTGCAGGGATGTTACCCTCTCGAAAACGTGCTGGAAAAAATTTACACACACACACACAAGCATGAACATTCTCTAATACAAAATTCATCTTGCTTAGAAACACTAACAAGGAATACATAAAAATAAACAAAAATAAAACAAACTATTTTAACTAAGAGGAAAAATTTAGATAAATAACAACAAAAGCTAGAATTTATATACCAGTTATTAAAAGGTATATAACACTGAACGAATGTACAGTATATATCATTGAATGAATGGCAATATGTGCCACTCCATAGTATTTGAATATCCCTACAATTCTATCGGAACGTCAATGAACACTAGAAATCTTCTGGTGATGGTTTTTCCATACAGGAAAATTAGATCCAGGGAGCCTTGGTAAAGGGATGAGCACCATGTCTGGCATAGCACCTTTCAGCCATTGAATGCACAGGACAATCACATTAAGGACCATTGACACAGTGCAATTTTGCAAAGACTTTAAAGGAACTAGAAAATCTTGTGTGTAAGTATGTATACATTACGGGTATTTAACTAATATTATTCCCTTCGGAATATGAAGGAAAGCTGCTCTAACAGCAAAGAAAATGAGACAGGATGGTGACTGATGTGATACTGTGCTGATGTCACTAACACTTTGTGTTAGTAACTTGTATTAGTGATATTGTTAGTTGTCAACAGTATCTAATTCTGCCGAGAATATGGTGATAGTGATCTTGTTGCTGGTGGAGGGGGGCGGAGGAGGTCGATCATATTACATGTAATGATGACCATATTGTGGTGGTCAGAGTGCAAGATAGCACTGCCTTCATCGGTGGTCATAGTGAAAAAGCTGTTTTCATTAGTAAATGTGATAAAAATACAGGTAGTGATAGTATAATCTGTACTAATTGTAGTGTTAGTGATGTTCATTGAAAGCGTGGATCATTGTGCAAGCTATATAAGTATTGTGACTGTACTTGCCTAATTGTACTTGCGGGGGTTGAGCTTTGGTTCTTTGGTCTCGCCTCTCAACCATCAGTCAACTGGTGTGAAGATTCCTGAGCCTACTGGGCTCAATTGTGGTGGAGAGAGAAATAAGGTAAGGTAATTATCAGGAGAAAGCACAAAGCCAGTAAAACACTTATTTCCTTGCAATAACAGGTATAGGTATGTGCATGTTAAATTGCTCTAAAACATTTGAACTTGTATATTGAATAACAGAAAAGCTCCTTTATCCCTGTTTTGACTTGGGAGTGAGTAGAGCTATGGCAGATGGAGTTTTTTTTTTTTGTTAATTAAGATAAAAAGCTGGTTAAGTTGAGTAGCATTTTATTGCTCGGAATATCCAGAGTTTATACCTTAAACAGTTTATTTCATTGAGAAGCTTCAAAAAATGACAATGTCTACAATATACAGTAGGAAATGTGGCTCAGAAAGTTAGCTGAAGAATTCATATGCTATTTAACATAGACATTCAAGTTGTAGAATGGTATAGACTATTTTATTTTAGATTTGTAAAAGAATATTCATTTTAGTGTTATCTGATGCTATGTGAATTATTTATTGTTTAGGTTTCATATCTTGTCTTTAGAAATAAGACCCGAATCCTTCCTTGTCTTAGTGCTTTAATTGCTAAAGTACTTAAACTTTATGTAGGATTGAGGGGTCTGGACGTTGTGCTGAATATTTAACCCAGTGAAAAATTTAAACGAATCATTTCTTTGACAGCCCAAGACAGAGAAGTTTGTGTTCCCAGAGCTCTTCCCAGAAAGTAAGCAAGAAGAGCAGGATAAGGAAATGAAACAGCTTGATGTTCTAACGGAAGAATGGGAGAAAAACACCCAAAGACATAAGCACCGGAAGGGAGTTCCAACATGGTTTGGAATATGATTGCTGTCTGGAAATAAAGTGCGATGGAATTTAAATGTTCAGATAATGAATTGACTAAGTTTCACCCAGACAGAGATCCAGTTGATTACTCTGCTGTTCTAAAACTAATTGAATATTTTTTAAAAAGTAGGAAATATCCATGACCCATTCCACAGCAGTCGGTGAAAAGAAAAATTTAATAATTGTATTACTTTCTTTGTGGGTTTTGACCTGCACTACTCTGTATATAAATAAATAATAATTACTTTCCAATTTCTTTTTTACCCAAGAAACAAGGCTTATTGTGAATATGAAATATTTATATACAGTATAAGCTGTAGTTGTTACATGTAATTATTATGACTGTCCTTTTCATAATGTAATCTTATTTCTATTTCCTGAATGTTTTCCCATCATTTTAGTATACTGTTCCCTTGATTGTACTGTATATCAACCATCCTCACCATGAATCCAAGCTATATTTCAGTATTTCTCTACAGTACAGTATGTCCGCTTCATGGTGCCAGACCTCGTACTTTTGATGCTCACCATTGATGCTCATTGCCCCAAGTTTAACTTAAATTTCTCTGAAACTCATTTGTTCCAATCTACCTTCACTAGGGGCATTACACAGATGTTGCATCTACCCATATTTTGCTTGATACTGAATCGATAAAATTTAAATCACTCCTAGGTCAGGAATGTGTATTATTTGAAGAATTTCATAATTTTGCCAGATGTAATAACCTTCCTGCTGTATCCATAGGATTCTATATTGCTGACAAAATTAGTAAAAGAACAAATTTCAAGCCAGGAAAGTACTGTACCTGTATTTTTAAAAGAATTCAATGAAAGGGACAATGTTAAATTTAATTATAGTAGTAGTTGTATAACCAAGGAATCATGTACATAATAATGTGTATGCAGTTTGAGACATAATTTTGGTAATTAAGCCACCTCACTTCACAACCTTGAATTGATAGTCTCCTTATTATCGCTTTTCAAAATGTTGAAATTTGTGCAATATAAGTTCTGTAAACAGTTACCAAAAGAAGGCAACAAGCCATGAAGACTGCAGCACAGGCTGCACAGTCATGGAAATGACTGAGCCTGGAAATTCAGAAGCTGCTGAATATCATTTGAGGTGCCAATATAAAAACAATTGGGCATAAGGTAAACGATATCAAGGGTATTGGATTAACCAAGAATTCACTCAAGGGACAAGTGACATGAAAGGACATTAGGAAAGCAAGACATGACTATCCTGAAAATTAGGACATTCTACATTAAGGTGCATGACTGTAAGTGGGACACTGAGGTTTGGACAAACAAGGAGTATGGCATTGTTCCATTAAGTGCCCATGAGTTAAGTGTGCATGACCAATATACAACTTAGCCAAAACTTTATCCCACCATCTATTATAGTGTGAGGAGGAAAGCCAAGGGGAAAGGTTTTTAAGAGTGCAAATTTATTACTTCTAATGCCAGCCCAACAACCTTGCCAATGGTTGCTGAGAGAATGACTGGGTAGAAATCCAAATGAGGAATCTGTTTCTGGGTAATGTTTACAAGTACAAATAGCCTCCTTAGTGGTGGTGTCTACAAGGTCATTTGAGGCAACGCAGTGTAGCTGAGAACTCAGACAAATTTGATCGTCTTATATCTGCTAAAGATGAGACACAGCTAGTATTGGATTTCGGCCACCACAGGATACGTAAGATTAAAAAGACTAGAGCTAAGAGCACACTTCAAGAGTTGATCATAATGACAATGGAACACTGACCCTAAAAAAAGGTGATGAAGAGCATACAAAATTACATAAAGTTCTGCCATGAATATACTCATCTCTGAGAATTGGTAGCACATACAGGTTTGATCAGAAAAAACAATGGGGTAACTAACTTCATCAGCAGATTTAAACCCAAATGTGAACAGTTATGGAGTGTGAGAGGAAATATGTTAGAGTAAAAGGCTTTTCATAAATGAAGGAGGGGTTTAAGCCCTCACCATGTGGATCATGGTCTTGTAAAATTTCACATATGGGGCAAAGGTGGTAATAACATTAGAGCTGATGTAAATGTGGACCAAGAGAGAGAGAGAATTTTATAAATTAGCTACCTTAACAGGAAAAAAAAGGTGGTGAGAAAGAACAGGTTCCCCCTGAAGGGGAGTGGTCAAAGCACAGCACGAGCAGGAGTGAAGATGTTGCAAGATCACGCGAGGTAGCAAAGGCAGTAATGCTCTTAGTGATCTGTAAAGACAGGTCGCCAGTTTCAACATACACGCTCAGGGTGAGAGGTGAACAAAAGGCACCAGAGCTTGAGGCATACTCCAGTACTGTATGTTGAATAGCATAAAGATGACAAAGGGTCAAGTGAGAGGCAGAATAACAGGCAGGGCAGCCATAATCACGTTTAAACAGCACAAGAAAGGAGTGTGCATCTATCAGCTCCCCAAGAAATACAAGACAAGACTTTAAGGTAAGGGCCTTGGACTGAGTGATAATGGAGGACAACAAATGACATGCCTCTGAGTAAAAGTTATAAGATGACACACTATCAGTTGTGAGTTGCAGGGAAGAATTGTCACCACAACAAGAGAGTGTGATGTTGCCAATATAACAGGTAGAGAAAATGCCAGAGAAAAGAGAAACCATATAAGGCAACCAGGAAAATAGTAGCGATCAGAACATTCCACTGGGAAACACTTTCATACTGTTGAAAAGTCTGAGAAAGCAGTACAGCACTAACTCACTTTAAATGAACGACAAGAGAGGAAGCTTTGAAGGAAAAGTAGCTTGCCAAAAAGGCCAAAAGAATACAGTTGGGCTGAAGTATTGTATCTCCAGGCAATGTCATTTTAAACTTTTTCCAGATAAAATTGAACTGCAGCAACACAAGAATTTGCTGCAAAGGCAGTACAAATGTAGAACTCAAAGTCCACTAATATATCAGAAGTGATACTACACATACAAATGCCAAACTGAGAGAGGGAGAGGTAGTGTCTAGGTTCCAAGAACCACATGAGATGAACATTAACCATATATTAAGAACGTTTGGCCACACAAATGGGGAAAAAATCTTTAGAGGAAGTCCCTTGATTATTGTATTTCCTAATGGGGAAAAAAAACTGCCTCAAGCCAGTCTTTGGCAGCCAATGTCATCACCCAAATATGGTTCTTCATATTGAACAAATGCTGAAAGACATGATGAAGTATCTCATAGAGAATGCCGTCAAAGTGTCAAAAGACTACAGAGGGATGAGGCAGACTGGAGTTTAGAAAGAGTGAAGAAATCATTATAAGGGAGTTGGAGGTGAGCGCGAAAGTCCAAGGAACGAGATAAGTGTAAACCCAGTACTTTTGTGACCAACACGAGATCTGGCACTGTGGAACCATGGAGATGAAGGAAAGATGACATGTGTGAATCAAATTTACCTGTAATCTTTTTGGATTTTCTTCCAGATATGAGGAAAAGGGGTGTCAAGAGTAATGGTGGAGACATAGAATTTACAACTCTCACAGGCAGGGAAGAGCAGTGTGGGGCTGAAAAGATTCCAGTCTATCTTATATAACTGCCACCAAGGAAAAGAGCAAGGAAGGCAGAAAGAAAAGGGATATGAGAATGGGGAAATGGTTGCTGTTATGGAGGTCAAAAACTCAGCACGCCAGTTCAATATAAACAAGTTCAAATCCCCACATTGTGCCAATTGATTTCTCATTGATATATCATTTTAGTAAGATTTCTTTGTGTACTTGAAGCTAGAATGAATGGTGGAGAACTCCATTACCTATACCAGAGTGCATGAGGGTTATATGTAAAACCTAGACTGACTTCAGTAGGGGATTCCAGACATCCTATGGATTCAGTGGAATCCCAGGTTGTATAACTTATATCATGTTGTGGTACAGAGGTAAGGTAAGTGGCCTTGGGAGTACTCAGGTTAAGGGTTCGAATCCTGGCATTGCTCCAATTGATTTTCTCATTGATATATTACGTTAGTGTGATTTCCTTGTGTATTATTACAGTATTATTATTGTTACAATTATTATTACCTATATAATTACCTATATAATAATATTATTATTGTTAATGTTATTATAGTGTGCGATGAGGGTCTGGCCTAGAACCTTTATTATGAAGGGCTTAAGATCAGAAATATGATGGTTAGGTTCAAAGCTCGCTAACATGTTAAAAAGTCATCTGCTCCTGTTCCCATCTTTATTGAAAAAAATAGGTGATGGGAGGGTATCGTACGCGAGTGGAGGTGCCAGAGCGGCTACAACAACACCAGTCTGGAGTACGACGACGCCCACGCAGGACGCTGGTGGGGGACGGTCCCGCCGACGTAAACAAACCATGGCTGATATACGTCTTGAAGTTCCTGCCGAAAATTCGGTTCTAGAAGTGTTATATGATGGCATGGAATTATATCAACAGTAAGCACTTGAAGAGTAATTTAAAATATGTGATAATGTCCTTTATTTTGTGTCTATACGTCCGCCAATCGGTAATCGGCCACCATCCACTTTTACTTTTCGAGGCAAATGCAGAAATCTTACACAAACTGCATGTGTCACAAAGAAGATCATATGCTAACTAGAACCAGAAACTGGAAACAGTGTTATTACAGAACCTAAAATCATAGGCCGCAAACCAAGCAACATATGATAGACTAGTTTAGTTTGGATCAGATGTTAGGTACGTTTCAGTGGGGCTTGTCCAACCACTTTGACTGGACGGTACAGCAACGGCTTTGCTTCTTGCAGGTCGGTGTTCAATTCCCGACTGTCCAAGTGATTGGGTACCATTCTTTTTCTCTGTCTTACACCCAGATCCTTTTCCTCATATCCCTTCTAAGTGGTATATGGGGGGGGGGGACCCCCTGACAAGCCACCGACTTCCTGTCCTTGTCGAGGTCACTAGAGTGTTAGTGGCCCTTGGGTAAATATAGTAGTAATGCTTGTCTCAGTTGGGATCAGTTTCTCCTGATCCCAACCTTACCTTAGTTGGGATCAAGTCAGTTGGTAGTTTTAGGTCCAGCAGTAAACAATAACCTTGTGTTGGGGCCACTTTCACTGTAGCAAGTGGGCAATACTTAATTATTGTACCTCAGTCTATTAGGGTATGGTTATGTGATACACAGGCAATTCAACAAAGCTCATTTTCTAATTGTTAATACTACTGCCTCTCAACTGTCAACTGGTGTACAGATTCCTGAGCCTATTGGGCTCTTATCATATCTACATTTGACACTGTGTATGGAGTCAGCCTCCACCATATCACTGCCTAATGCATTCCATTTGTTAACTACCGTGACACTGAAAAAAAATTCTAATGTCTCTTACGGCTCGTTTTGGTACTCGGTTTCCACTTGTAATTACCTAAGTGTAATTACCTAATTACTTGTGTATTACTTGTAATTACTTGTAATTACTTGTGTACCTTTGTTTGTGTTCTACCTGTGCTAGTTACTGTACTGTCTAAGCTCACTCATCCGGACTATATGGGAAGGAGCCCTCACCAGATAAGCAGAATTCTTACAGGAAAATTCAGAAAATTACCATACATTATTTGCAATTTTTTTTTACCACAACCAACATAATATGAATTTCCACACACACACTATAAATAAAATATGTAATTTAAAAGAGAAAGTTCAGCTTACCGTGTTGTAGTTTGTGTTCTTGTTTATTACCGTAAATCCTGAAATGTGCATTGCTTGAAAATTTACCTAACCTTGCTTCCAGTTATCTGGATTTCTGTCCGGATATGGCAAAGTTTTGCCAGAAAATTATCTAGACTTTCATTCTGTGCCAGTCTGCGCTATCCGGCCAAATCTCAGGTTATCCGGATTACTATCCGGATATTATGAAGTTTTGCCAGAAAATTATCCATATGCGATTTTGGCCAGATAACCTAACTACTGTATCCGGTTAGTGGAATCCGGATAAGCGAACTCATACAGTATTTTTTTTTTATTTTAGGCTTTTCATTTTTAATTTGTGGGCCCACTTACCCTACAGTACCTACAGTGGGCCTACAGTACCTCGTTTAAAAAAAAATTTATCAAAATGTGCACTATCAGTATTGTAAAGCCTGCCGAGTTGTGTACTCTTCCAAAATTTTGTCACAGTCCTTTAACAATATTAAAATACAGGACTAATAAAACAAAAAAATTGGTTTTGAGGTTTGAATTTCCCACCAAAAATGCAGCATTACAAATCCTCAACAATATCCATTTTAATTATTGAACTTACCTTATACTGTATATACTTTCTTTTGACTTATAATTAATCTGATTATGTTTTAGGTTTAATAGAAAAAAATACTAGTTGACAATGTGCCATTATTGCCAGATTTATTTTGGGTATTCAATGCAACTTGGTCAAAAAATACTGAAGAATTTATAAATTTCTTTCAAATGAAGTTAAAGTATGTAGCTAAAAGCCTAGGCTATCTAATGGAAATAAAAATAGTTTAGAAATAGACAAAATTATAATTATGACCTCCTAATAGCCAAATTTTTCATGTTTACCTAAAAATTGTGCTTATACTTCTACGTGCCTTTTTTTATTTCTTCACCTGCCTTTTTTATTTCTTCACCAACAGACCTCCGACTATGTCGGAGAACCTCACTCAGTTAGCAAGAAAGATTGACTTTGCAACTGATGGGGAAGATGTAACAACTGAAGAAAAAAAAGAGGAGGAGGAAGAGGAGGAAAAACAACCTTTTCAACAACCTCATTGGCCCCTTGAAGATGTTAGAAATAAGATAAGGTGAGTTGCATATTGAAATGTTATTACTCTCGATATACACCTCCTAAACAATTGCATGGATGGCCTCATTCACCTATGATAGCAATTCTGTAAGGTTTGCTTTGTTCTACAAAAAAAAAATTAGTAAAGATCAGCATTTCTCTTTCTTATATTTTCTAATTCTCCTGAAGTCAGTTAAATGTCCCCTGCAATTTAGCTCTCAATATGTACAGTATACTGTATTGAAATTTTATCAATCATTATTCTTTCCTACTTGTCTCTCTAAATCCTTGATATTATGTTTTATTCCTGATTACCAAAATTTATTAGATTTCTTTCCATTGTACTTTGTAGATATTTGGGGCAGCTTGAAATTTCCTGTCCCACCTTATCTCTAATGCTTAAGTTCACATTCTCTAGAATCTTTCATAACCTGATCTTGAGCCTCCATGTCCTTGGTTACTTTTGTATAACTGAATTTTATTTCAAGTTCAATTTCCAACTCCTCAGTTATTTAATTTGTTCACTTATAGTTACTAATTTTACTCAAATTCCTTACCCTAACTAATATTGATTTCTTCTATTTGGACTTTTTTGCAGTTAGTTTACCCTTCTGCATTTAATTTTTCCAGAACTAACTCCATAAATCTTGACCAGCAATTCTTGCTTTTAAACTCACCTGCTTACTGGTTTATGCTTTTCTTCCAATACTTCAATTTTGCCCACAAACGTGACAGATTGGTCATTGCAAAAAATCCTCAAAATTGATTAGTCTCTTTTTAAACCCTGCATCTTCCTACTATTGGCACCCCTCACCAGGATATTTTGAGTACCTTGTGAAAGAAGGGATACACTAGGAAAAAGCCAGGAGGTAAGAGGTTGTCATATCAGAGGAAAAAGTATAATAATAATTAATAATAATACAGTAATAATAATAATAATAATAATAATAATAAAATCCGTAGGAGCCATGATGAGGGTTCGAACCTATGTGGTGGGTGTTCCCACACACATCGCATAGGTTCGAACCCTCATCACAGCTTCTACGGATTTTCTCATTGATGCAGTCACGATAATGTGATTACTCTCTGTGTAATAATAATAATCATTTATTTTGTCAGAGACAGTAAGCCTGTGTGTGTGTGTGTGTCATTACCTAAGTGTAGTTACAGGATGAGAGCTACACTCGTGGTGTTCCGTCTTCCCAGTACTCTTTGTTGCATAATGCTTTGAACCTACTGATGGTTTTGGCCTCCACCACCTTCTGACTTGACTTGGTCCAACCATCTACCACTGTTTGCAAAAGAAAACTTTTTAATATTTTTTGGCACCTCTGTTTCCTTAGCTTGAATCTGTGACCTCTTGTTCTTGAGGTTGCTGGTGTCAGGAATTCCTCTTTGTCAATTTGGTCGATTCCTGTTATTATTTTGTAAGTGATCATATCACCTCTTTTTCTTATATCTTTTAGCTTTGCCATGTTTAACGCCTCTAATCTCTCCTCGTAACAATTGTTTTTCAGTTCCGGAAGCCATTTTTGTAGCCATTTCCGGAAACCATTTTGTAGCATGCCTTTGCACCTTTTTCAGTTTATTGATGTTCTTCTTTTTAGATATGTGCTCCATACAACTGCTGCATATTCCAGTTTTGGTCTCACAAATGTCATGAACAGTTTCTTCAGTATTTCACCATTCACGTAATTAAAAGCGAGTTTGAAGTTGGAAAGCAATACATACGCTCCTCGCACAATGTGTGTGTGTGTGTTTTTCTCTTAGTTGATTACAATACAATCTGTTATTGTACAGTACTGTATACGTAATCACACACAAAAAATCAGGATGCAGATCTCTTGGTTTTGAACTGAAACAGGGAGATTTTTAAGAAATATTAATTGATGTACTGTATATAATAGAGTACTTATAATGTTGAATATGACCAAAAAGGTGAGATTAATAATTCTAACACAAATTTTCTCAATATTTCTTATGTTTTTCTTCACTGTTGAGGGTAATTGAAATATCAATTCTCCAAAATTTATTTTTATTTTTGGTCTTATGCTTAGAAGCATATAAAACCAACAAAACGGCCAACCTACCCATAAAAAACTCCCCAGACACCAAACAGAACACCTTGAAGAAAACTAACGTCATCTATGCCTTCAAATGCCCACTTGGGGATTGTAAGCCCCCAAAGAACTTAGTATATAGGCAGGACAACAATGTCTCTTTCCAGGTGATTAACAGTGCATAAACAACAGGGCTCCATCAAGGAACATATAATCTTTTCTCACAACCAGACCATCACCAGAGAAATCTTAACAAACAACACAGAAATCATCAATAGATACAGCGATAGCAGGAGGCTCGACATCAGCGAGGCACTACACATCAAAAAGTCAACACCAGCAATCAACAGCCAATTAACTCATAACTACATTCTACCCACTTCAAGACCTCGTATGGGCCAATAGGCCCTCTGATGTTACTTTCATTCTTATGTACCCACCTCACCCAACACAAACATAAAAGCAAGATGTGGGTTAAATATATCATACATAGTGTATCAAGTGTATAATAAGTGTAGTGTAAAGTGAAAACAAGTCTTTGAGAATGTAAGAAGCCCTTACGAAATGCTTCTAGGTGTAAGACCAAAAATAAAAATGAGTTTTGGAGAGTTATTTCAATTACCCTCAACAGTGAAGAAAAACATAAAAAAAAAATGAGAAAATTTGCGTTAGAATTATTAATCTTACCTTTTCGGTCATATTCAACAACATGAGTTTACAAGAAAGACTGCTACCAAAATATACTAATAATAGAGTACTCTATATGTTTAAACTTTTTTTCTTTTTGCAGACAAGCTTTAACAGAGATGTCTGTTTTGCATGACTTACTGGTAATAGTGAAACAGAAGCCTCCACAGTATATGGTACTGGACCCTGTACAGGCTGAAGCTCCAGAACAGAAAAGTTACATACAATTCCTGTCTCTTAAAAAGGTAAGCCTTCTGATATATCTGATAAGAAATGCTTTCATTTTTAACAGTAAGTTTCTAGGTACAGTAACATGCATTATTTTTTGTCATGAAAACCTTCAGGAGAATGCAGTTCTAAAAATAATGCATTTTGTAATACTATACTATAATACTGTAATAAGATGAAGTACCGCAGTTTCAGTTCTGAAAGATAGTCTCAGTATTTATGAGAATCACAATATTAAGGTAAGATGTAATACTGATTTTTAGTAATTTAGGTGTAGTAATCTGAAATTGTTTGGAAGTTTAGCTAAGGGCCTCATAGCCCTCTAACTGCGCACCCTAAATTAGGTCAGTTTCCTTGTGCACATAATTATTTTTCTTACCTGTATCGTAAAACATTGTTTTTGATGTCGGGTAAAATCCAAAAATATTTTTTCTGTGGGGAACCCTGTCGGCTCCCTGAAGCTATCCAAACTGGTATTGTGCTTTATTAGTTTGGGGTCATCAGTCACAGGAGTCCTTTGCCTACCAAGGACCACGAGCCAGAACCTGGTCCCCCTTAGAGAGGCACAGGAAGCAATGGCCTATGAGCACTTTACATTTAAAGTATGTCATAATTGCCATCAACCAGGGAAGGACCCAGAAAGGTAAGTAAATCAAAACAGACCACTGTCTTGTTAACCTGTGCAATCTGTGTCCTAAAAGATCAAAATAACTCCCCTAGAAAGAAATCAAACAAGCAACACTTCATGCAACTAGCACTCCCACTAGTTAGCACTCCCCACCACCCCAGTTCTTGAACTGATGTGCTGGCAGTTGGATCGGTCACCTCTGGCCTCAAGTTCCTGTTCTGGATTTTTGCCCTCTGTAGCTGTTCCAGCTGTGTGTGTAGTGTGGTGGCCAGGTGTCTTAGAGTACGGGAGCTGCATGCACCTAGGGCGACTTTCCCTAGGTGCTCCGTAAGTACTGCCCTTGTGTGTCGAGGTTATCTTCCCTGGGGCATTCGGGAATCACTCCCCGTTTCAGGACTTTGTCACTTGAAGTTGTCTTCACCCTTGTGGTATGTTGAGGGTCTTGGGCTTTCCGTCTTGCTCCGGGTAGGGAAGTGTTATTGGCTGGGTGGGGCGCACTGGGGCTGACGCAGCCAGCTTTAATTCAACGCGGCAGTCGATGTTTCTCTCTGACTGCCAGCTCGTTTGTTTTGTATCCTCTGGGGTTTTGTTTTTCTTTTCTGGCCGCCCCGTTGATGGGGTGTCTGTGGTATACCACCCTTTGGGTTTGGGGGCAGCACTAACTGAGCAGGAGTGCTAATTGCATGAAGTGTTGCTTGTTTGGTTTCTTTCTAGGGAAGTTATTTTGATCTTTTAGGACACAGATTACACAGGTTAACCAGACAGTGGTCTGTTTTGATTCACTTACCTTTCTGGGTCCTTCCCTGGTTGATGGCAATTATGACATACTTTATATGTAAAGTCCTTATAGGCCATTGCTCCCTGCGCTTCTATGAGGGGACCAGGTTCTGGCTCGTGGTTCCCAGTAGGCAAAGGACTCCTGTGACTGATGACCCCAAACTAATAAAGCACTATACCAGTTCGGATAGCTTCAGGAAGCCTCCAGGGCTTACCCAGAAAATGGAGTTTCATTACATTCAATGCTGGTTCTTTTAGTGTAGCCATAGTAAGGTGAAGAAATGTTGATGACACATTATAATGCAATAATTTTTAAGTTAACATTTATAATACAGTACTATAGATCTTCATCACTAATATCTTCCAGGTCCATAAAAGTCCTTTAAATCTTGCATGACATCAATGGTTCCTAGCATGAGCATCATTGATAGCAATGCACCCATCATGGTGCCAATTATATTTCCAAGACCCAGGAAAGAAATTAAGGCTTTCAGAATTTTCTCCAATATGCTAAATGATTGCCAGACATCTCTAGTGTCTAATTCATTGTGCTCCACATAGAATGATATTGACATAGAATCTTTAGGACATTTGAATATTACAGGGCATATCTAGTCTTTCACAAATGATTGTGGCATCTGCCCCTATCACTTGACGGTGATGGGAGCAGTTTAAGAGTTAATTTATTACCTGGTTATAGAATTCACTTAAAGCAGTTTCTTTAGATTTCACAATAACCTTTTTTCTAAGAGTAGACACTAACTGACACATGTTGCTTTCTGGGGCCTGACTAGTATGAAGAGAAATAGATGGGCTTTGAAATTCCTTGCATAACAAAATAACTTGTGTAATAGAGGCTTGACTTTATTATAATCAACTTGGCCTCATTGGCTTTTAATTTAAAGCACTTGTGTAGTCAGAATATAGAGATCTTGTATAAATTGGTGTGTTTAGCCCCACTGATGGTGGTTGCTGTGTCTTAACAACAACTGGTATAGGGATGTGGCACCCCAACTCCCACCATTTTGGTGCAATCAGCCTCGCTCCCCCTTACATTTTGAAGATGCATTTGGATGTGATGACCTCACTGCTCACCACTATGTGGTGCAATCAGTCTCGCACCCACTGCATTATAGAAATGTGGCAGCCCAGCGCCGTTCACATTCAGGGTGTGCATCCTGACTCGCTTCATTCCTCTTTCCACTGCGTGGCGGTCGACGCTGCCTCCTTCCTGTGACTTTATCGAATGTTCGGGCATCCGAAGGTGGACCACCTCGCGTCGGCGTGGTCCTGGCGTCTTCTGTTATACGTGGGGGCCATTTCCCGAATGCGAGGTCGTCGCGGTGGATGCTTTTCAGCAGGACTGGTCGAGGTGGGGGTTTCTTTACCTTTATCGCCCGGTCCAGCTGTTGCTTCGGGTGCCTGCTCAGCTCAAATCCTATCAGGGGGGAGTGATTCTCCTGGCCTCATGGTGGCCAGCCCAACTTTGGTTTCAGGTGCTGCTTTCTCGGTGTCCGAACCCGAGAGTTTTCTGCAACTCCGCCTCTTTCAGCAGGTCGGGCCGCTGAGGTACCTCACTGGTTTGACTTGCTCTTCAGCTCTTCGTGTCTGGAGTTTTTGACGTGGATGTATCGCCAATTATATGCTGATCAGGTGGTTCCTTTGATGGTGTCTCACCTGCGGTCTTCCTCTCAACGACAGTATGAAGTCTCCTGGCAGTTTTTCCACCATTTTCCTTCCCTTTATAGGGTCTCATCGGTGTCGGTTAGGGTTGTTTTGTACTTGACTTTTTTCAGGACCGGCATCTTATGCCGAATGCTGTTGCTTCTTATCATGCGGCATTGACGAAGCCACTCCAGCTTGCGTTTAGGGTGGATGTCACTTCCGCTCCATTCTGCAAGCTCTCATACATTTTTTCACCTCTGGCCTGCTTATGCACCACCTAAGCCTTCTTGGTCTTTGGACCAGGTGGACCTCTCATTTCTCTCCTCTACCCAGTTTGTGGTGGCCCCTTCAGTCCGGGATTGTTTTCTGAAAGCCTCGTTTTTGTTGGCTTTAGCCTCTGGGGGTCAGGTTGGGGAGCTTCTCCGGCACAGATGTTTCTACTCCTTTGGTCCTGGGGGTCGTTTTGTTCATTTGCTACCCCTCTCTTTCTTTTCTGGCGAAGAATGAGATGGCTGGTTTCCAGAGGGGTCCGTGGGTTATTGATGCTTGGTTGGTTAGGCCGGAGGTGCATCATGTGTTGTGTCCAGTTGCGGCTCTCCGCCGTTACCTGTGGGCCACTGCCTCAGTGGATGTGGACGCGCTTTGGGTTGACCTGGTTTCCCCTTATTCCCTGTTCAAGGGTTCAGTCTTACAGGTCATCTCCAGGGCACTTTGGTCCACAGCCTGCAGTCTATCCTCGTGCCCACGATGTTTGTATGGTGCTGCATTGGCTGACATCTTTGGTGTCATGTCTGGGGCTGTCTTTCGGGCACTTGGTTTTTTAGAGGTCTTGCGGTTGCAGCCTGTTGTCTCAACTTCGCGTAGCGGAGTGGTTGGCGACCGCCTCCTGGGTTAGTCCCTCTTGTGTTGTCTTTGGGTAAGTAGCTCCGGGAAGCTGACAGGGCTCCCCCCAGAAAACCAGTGTTGAATGTAATGAAATGCCATTTGCTGGGTGAGACCCGGAGGCTTCCCCGGCAACCCTCCCTCTCTCTGGTCAGTGGTTTTTTGCGTATTTTGACATCCAGCCTCAGAACTGGGGTTTGGGTAGCTGGTGTGGGGGTCTGGGGCTCCCCCTTTTCCCTCCTGAGGAGGGGGAAGCTGCACAGACGGTGATGCGGTGATGTTATACTTGTTTGCTTGTTTTCATTTGGGGAGTTCTGTCCACTAGTTCGGCTTTTGGAAGCAATATTTTAACCAGAATAGGGGGTATGTTTTGGAGCGCTTACCTTTTTGGATGCCTGACCCGATCAATGGCAGACACACGGGGGTTTCTATAGGCCATTGCTTCTCGTGCCTCTGAGGGAGCCAGGATCTAGCTCATGGTCCCCGGTAGGCCTAGAACTCCATGTGCATTGACTGATGCCAGGGTCTAAATACTTTCATATTGGCCCGGTTATCTCCGGGGAGCTTCCGGGTCTCACTCAGGAAATGGAGTTTCATTACATTCAATGCTGGTTTTTTGACTATGTAAGTATCATTAAATTTTTTGAACTGACATCAGTCAAATTAGTTTTGAGGAGATAATTTTAATTAAAATAATTATTTGTTTCTAACATGCGCTTCATTTTCTTGTGAGTTTGTTGTACTCTGTCAGACTTCTGAAAGTACTGTATGTCAGACTTCTTAATTTGTGGTAGTCAGTTGTAGTTAAAAATTATTTAAAATAGTGATTTTTTGTTTTGCCGTTATGAACAATTGTGTAATACAGTACTCTATATCCTGATATATAACTGGGGGTACCTGTTTTGAAACTTGAAAGGAAACTAACCATTCACAATTTGTATTTAGTTCAATGACAATTTTGATGTAATGTTTTCATGGTTCAAGTGTTGTAATGGGTTGAATAACATTCAATATTGGCAGCTTATTTGGAGTTATATTACAAGCATGTAATTTTGCATGCCACATTGATTTTTCTCATATCTACAATTGTGGTATACAGTAATGCCTAATTTGGTTGCATTTTCAGTAACAACATATGCAAACTAATCTATCTTGTTTTAATACAAATTCTTTGCAGTAGTTACATTTAGTAGGTCTGTGCAAGAAGGTGATACAGTATACTCTCATGGATATAACTGTATCGGATTATATTGTATATAACCAGTCGCTGGGTTCCAGAGTCTTAAGGCAAAAGATTATCTTAATACGCAGTATCTTGTTTCAAATTTCCGGCCAAATTATAAAAGTTTCAGCAATGTTGCTGTATTTGTTCAAGTTCAAGTATGTTTATTGAGACAAGAAAAAAAATACATCTAAAAGGGATATAGTAGCTTAGGCTATTTCTACCCCCCCCCCCCCCCCCCTTGCTGTATTTATTGTATGTTAAATATGTGAGTGTTGTGAGAAGGCAGTGTGAGTATTCCATGAGAGTAAATTGTGTTTGCCATTATGAAAGTACAGTCAGGTAAGTCGTCGTAAATTGTGTTTGTGTTTGCTGCCACGATTTATTATTTCAGTTACTGTGATTCCTTTTTCTTTTTTCAGAATGGGGTAAGTTTGGAGTCACACCCACATAAATAGGATTTAAGTGCCTGAACCATCTCAGTCCTGTTAAGATAATTGATCTGTCTTCACGCTGATAATGCAAAAGAACAAATTATCTTTCATATTCAAATTGGTGTTAAGCATTATTAACTGCTTGTTTGAAAATCCCATTCTTCCGTTAAATTTTTTTTTCAGTTTCATTTGTTATGGCCAATTTCTAATTATTTAAGTTGAATATTTTATACATTTGACATTACCAGCACTTAATCTTTTCATACCTGTTTTCAAGAAATTCTTTGAACAGAAGGCTCAGTGCACTATTATCTCATATAACATCAAGCTTGGCATATCACATTATTTTGTCAAAATCAGCTATTGTATGTATTTAATGGGAAATTTCAAAGTTGATAATTCTTTGTGAAATATTTGCTTTTGTTTTGTACATGGGGCGAGTTCTGTTTGCACTGTGTATGGTAAATATATTTGTTGTAAATAGACATGAAACATCACTAATAGTTGAGATAGCATATTTGTAATATGAAATAGATTTTTAAGTAGACATTTACAATTTACTAAGGAACTAATGCACATGATCGGATAACAAATCCAATGCATTATATACATAATTTGTTAGATTTTCTTATCGTTGTCCTTCATTCTCTAAAAAAAAATCATATCCTGAATCCCAGTACTAAATAAAATTAGTAAAACTAAAGATGCACTGAAATATTGAATAAATAATTTTTTTTAGTTTTTCACTATTCTAAGCAGGCATTTAACCTCTTAATACCGCATTTCCAAAGTGTGTGGTAACACACACATTTCTGTGGGGAGTCCTTACAGCTCCCTGGAGCTTATCGGGCTAATGTGTTTTATATTAGAACGGGACATTAGCTATGGTGTTCAGACTTACCAGGGACCATGAGCCAGAACCTGGTCTCTTCAGAGAGTTACTTCGAGTTTGGTTCCGTCCACGCTCCCTGGTCTTTACCCCCTGTTGTTCATCCTGCACCTTCTCCCGTGTCCAGCTTCCAAACGTCAATGGGTTTCGGATTCGGCACAGGGTTTAGTTGGTAATGAGACTCGGGCGACTTCAGGGGCTGCCCCATTCGGGTCGGAGACGGAGGCATTTGAGCCGGTTCCTCCTGCAGAGGCTTCTGGGTCCCACCAGCAGGCCCCCTTCTTGTCTGCCTTTACCCTGGACTCTGCCTTTTTTTTTTCAGAGATAGAGGGTTTGGAGGACAGCACTGCCCCGGGTACCGACGTGTGGGATCTCAGGGCTGGGAAGGAGTCGACCTGGGGGCCTTGGGGCCCCCTTTGACCCCACTTGGGTGCTTTTGCCTTCCTCGAGGGGTTTATTGCTGCAGGGGGAGGGGGTTTTCTTACTCCCGTTCCCTGTATGAGTATGATTTGGGTTCGGTTCCGGGCCCCTTTGGGTACCTCGGCCCCGTCTTTCCGGAGGTTTTCTCCTTCTCGTATCTCCACAAAAGAGGTTCGGGAGGCTCTTGCTGCATACCTCCTGCAAGACCCAGTTTCTGCCTCTGTCATGGATCCGTCCTCATTTGAGTTCGGTTATTCTTCCCCGTTTTGGGTGCGTTTGGAGGTTCCGGAGTCTTCCTGGCTGGCAGACTGCCCATTCTTTTCGTTGGGGGCGTGGCATGGGTTCTGTCGGACCCGTGCGCTTGATTGGCGTGAAACTTCTACCGTTCTGCAGGTTTACTTGGGGGGGGTGGGGGGGGGGGCAAGTTTGAGCACCTTAATGGGTGCTTGTTTGCTCCCGTGCTTTTTTTCGGGATGTTGGCCTTTTGCAGCTTCATGTGCAGGTTCCTTCTCTTTCGCCATTGTTTGTTGTGGAGGATTTGCGTGCCCATGGGCATTTGGCTTCGGTCTTACATTTCGTTTCCTTTCTCGAGTCGTCTTCTGCCTAATTTAAGAAGGATGTGAAGGTGTTGAGTGCCGGGCCTTCGTCTGGGGCACTGACTTCGGCGGCTAGGGCGTCGTCTGCACTGTTGAAGCTCTTTGCGCCTATCCTGAAGGAGGCGGTGTCTCTGTTTTTTGCTTCTCGCCTCATGTGCCCTCAGGCTGTGCTCATCCTCTCCTTGGAATCCGCCTGGGCCCTGGCTCTTAGGCTTTCGTTTCCATTTTGTCCTTTGCTGTTTGCAGAGGCTGTGGTCTCGCAGTTTCTGCAAGCGGCTTCGTCTAGTTGTCGTCCTATGTCGGACTTGTTGGTTCTCCGGGGCGGTCGTTCTCGGCCGTCTTGGAGCGGTCGTGCCAGGGTTCGGGGTTCCGCTGGTCAAGATGGGTCATGTCTCTGCTTCCTTGTCTCTCCCGTCAGAGGCGTTGCATTCTATCCTGTGGTCTATCCTCGTGCCCATGACGTTCGGAAGTTTGCAGCTTTGGCTGCTGTGTTTGGTAACATGTCTTGGGCTCATATTCTGGCATGAGGACTTTGGAGGTCGAACAGGGTCCTGGCCGCCCGTTATTTGGTGAACGTGCCTGCTCCTGGGTCATTGTGTTGCTTTGAGTCACAGGTTGCAGCCAGTTATCTCGACTTTGCATTGAGGAATTTGTGGCGGCCACCTCCCGGGTAAGTCCCTATTTTCCTTCTCTTTGGGTATGTAGCTCCAGGGAGCCGTAGGGGCTCCCCACAGAAAACCAGTGGAGCCCCTGAGGCTCCCTGGCAACCTTCCCTCCCACTGGTTGTCAGTTTTTTGCATTGGTTGAAGCTTAGCTTCCGAACTGGAGTGCTAGGCAGCCGGCGTAGTGAGGTCCGGGGGGGAGGCTCCCATCTACCCCTCTTGCGAAGGGGAGGATTGCGCGGAATTAGACTGTGACGTTTGCTTGTTTCCTTGGGATTCTTGGGAGTTCTACCTCTCTGTTTTGTTTTTTGTTTTAGTTTCTTACCATGTGAGGTTTGTTTGTTATGCCTACCTTTCTGGATGCCTAACCCTGGTCGATGGCAGATAAGGAAAAACCCTAATCACATGGGGGTTTTCCAGAGTCATTGCTTCCGGAAACCTCTCTGAAGGGGCCAGGTTCTGACTCGTGGTCCCTGGTAGGTCTGAACTCCATAGCTAATGTCCCAGTCTAATATAAAACACATTAGCCCGATAAGCTCCAGGGAGCCTCCGGGGCTCACCCAGAAAATGGTGTTTCATTACATTCAACGCTGGGATTTTTTATTCATGAAAGGGTCAAAATTGAGGTGCATTTTAAAATAGAAATCCAGTTTTCAGGACAGTTGTTTACATGAATTTAAATACTATCCCTCACTAAGGAACTCCACATGAATGGTCATCTCATCTCTTATTGATCATATAATTAGATTAAGAAAGGTAGTTCTTATTTTTATATTAATAAGCTATTTCTTCAATAATTTGCATTGCTTGCTTAAAGGGTGAGAATTCTTTCAAACATATGAATGTTTTGTTCTGCCTATGCTTTCTGGTGGATTTTTCCCAGTCGTAGACAATAGATGGCTCTCGGAGGCACGGTGTGTTGGGCTAAGGTCTAGTGGTACTAGAGTTAATTTTGACGAACTATTGGGGACCCACCTGAGAAGGACATTTCATTACATTAAACACTTGATTTATCCTAATACAGTATGTAAGTAAGAGATATTGAGAAATATAAAGGAGAGGTGGGAGGTAGGGATGGATTGAATAGGGTTTAAGGAGAGAGGGATGATGGAAGGCAAGTATGGGTAAGGATTTGGGTGACATAAAAAAGGAAGGATGGAAGGAAAAATAATATGGGTGAAAGGTTGGTAGGTTGTGAATGGGAGTGGGGGGGGGAGGGTAAGAGTGAGCAAACTAACAGCTGTAGAGGCTGGGAGATTTAACAAACTGCTGCAGGGGAAGATTCACTGCCATAAAATTTAGCATGCTAGGAAAGTTGGGTGGATAGACTCAAAGAAAGATGCAAAATAGATAGGAATGATGTGTGACCTTGAGATAGGCAGTTGCCACCTCAATATTTAAAAGAGTTGGTGCCTCATAATTTTATGATTGTTAAATAGGCAAAAGAAGGGTTGTTTATTGTTCAGATATTTTAACTAATTCATTATCAAGCCACTGTGTAAGCATTTGAAATCCTGTGACATAATATACATTGTTTTGCCTAAGAATACAAAACAAATTGTAACTTTTTCCTCTTGTTCATCACCAAAACATTACATTTCTTGTTCAGTAAAGGAGGATCCTGTAGGCAGTGATTTTTAGGGGCAATATATTAAGCCATGTAAAACATGTGTAAATAGTACTTTTGAATTTGAATGTATTATAAATATAAAGTTTTTCCAAGAGATGCCTCAACTTTAGGGTTACCATAAATTCTGAGTCCAAATACTGGTATTTCATGCTTGGAATATGCAAAAAACTCAACATTGAATGTAATGAAATGCCTTTTTTCTAGATGAGCCCTGGTGGTTTCCTGAAGCTGTTTCACTGAGATGGCTCTCAATTACTAGGTCACATCAACTGCAAAGTTACATTTGGCCTATGGGGGAGAGCCAGAACCAAACCCCCTCACAAGTGCAGAGAGCAGATGGCACTCTGCCACCTCACCAGGAAAGCATGCAGAAATCGAACCAAAACAGACCATTACTGGGTTCAAACAGGCCAAACAAACTCTCCAAATAATGTAAACAAACAATTGAATTTCTTGAAACTAACGTGAAAGAGGGGACAGAGGTCCAAGTTCCCCCCCAGCCCTCCAAGCCAATTCTTGAACAAATGTGATGATGACGTCCACTAACTGACGATCCTGGAAGGGACGGAAGAAATCAGGGAATCAGTGAGGTTCATCCAGAAAGAAAGATTTCATTACATTCAACGCTGGGTGTTATGTGGAGCCTCTTTATGGCTTCCTGAAGCTAATTACCCACAGAGACTAAAAAAAAAAGGACTCACCAGAGAGGATGAGAAGAAATGGCAGGTAAAACCAAAACAGAAAAGAGAAACTCAGTCAAAAGAGACGACCCAAGGCAATACAGGCATGATGATGCC